AATACATTACATTACACATTACATTACACATTACATTACACATTACATTACACATTACATTACACGTTACATTACACATTACATTACACATTACATTACATTACACATTACATTACATTACACATTACACTACATTACATTACATTACATTACATTACATTACATTACACAATACATTACATTACATTACATTACATTGCATTGCATTGCATTGCATTGCACATTACATTACACATTACATTACACATTACATTAGAATACATGACATTACATTGCATTGCATTGCATTACATCACATACATACATACATACATACATTACATGCGTTCATACACTACATTACATTACATTCCATTACATCACATCCCATTACATTGCATTACACTACACTACACTACATTATATACATGCACGCACAGCATGAGGTAAGAGTAAGAGTGCTTATACTTTTCAAATTTCCTCAATCTAAGAACTGTTCCTTGTAGATATTAAAGTGAAATAGGCCGCAGCAAAGAAAATAATTTAGGGTGCACAAAACCCGGTTCTCCTCCAAAGTCATCAAATGGTTTAGAGATTAGCAAGCTGCAAGGGTCCGAGCGCATGGGGGCCGTGTGACACTGGGAGTCTAGCCACTTTGGGAGGAGTCCTCAATGGATCGAATTGTGTTGCGTTTGGCTGGGGCGGACCCGAGCTTCGAACTCGGCAGAACAGGCCAAATGCCACATGCCATATCCCAGTCGACGTGCCCCTTGTGTACCCAACTCGTCCTGTTCTGTTTGCAGCCCGTAGACACAAACAAATCCAAAGAAGCAAACAGCCGCAACACATCGCAACAACGATCTCCCATATTCAAAGCACCAAGCCAACTTGCGGTCCAAGAACGCACCGGTTTTTACGCGGGCGATCCGAACCCCGATGGGCCAATGGGCGCGACCCGCGCCTGAGACGTTCCCCGTGGTGTTGCTGTTGCTCACAACAACCGCCTCCCAGGTCGTCCCGGCCGGCGGCCTCAGGTGCGCCGAACGCTAAGGCGAGCATCCCAGGCAGACTGACCGGCCGAATGGTCTGAGTCAAAAGATTTGCTTTCCTGTAGCGCCCTAAAGCCAAGTTGTCAATTAGGAAGTCATGTCCTGCAGATTCAACGATCTTTTAGAAGTTTAGATATTGAACTTCGTCCCCAACAAATTATAATAGAAACAAAGACAAAACGGGATGTCTTGAGAAACTCAAAGCTGGGCTCTTGGACAACATAGGGCAAAGCAATCAACTGTGCCTCGCCAGGAATCTGCAGATTCAAGCCTCCATGACCTTTGTAGCCGTCCGAAATCTGCCTGCGAATGTTCCTAGCGCGATACCTACGTGCCCCTGGGGAAGGAGCCCCAAGCAAACATTCCCGGCGAGTTGTTTGGCGAGATTGTCATGAAATTCAAGGCACGCCGTGGAAACAACTCTCTTCATGGCAGGCAACGTCGGGTAGGCTGTCAAATGGGTTCAGTGACATTGGTTGAAAGCCATTCGGGTGCTACTGGCCCCAAGGGAGCGTGGCAGGTAAAGGGGACGCCGCCCCAGCTTCCGATGCGAGAGGAGTAATCAAAGCCCTGGTTCATTCAGAAGGGTGTCCCATTCTCAAAGGGGCGCTTCAATCTTTTTGGTGTGGGGTGTGTGTGGAGCAAAACATCCCTATTAGTCCGCCGGATTGATTGATGTGGGGTGAGCATTCATCCCTTGCAACAGAAGCAAAATCATGGGTCCAGCACAGGGTTGATCACAAGGAACAACCAGAGCAAAAACCCCGAGACCCTCCGAGAACCGCATTGCACATGAGCATGTCTTGGTCTCATTCCCTCCAACCAATTCCCTCACCTTGGCTTCATCTGGGCGTGGCACGGCACGCCCGCGCCCGAAAAGGCCTGGCCGAGTTCGTGCACGGGCCAAGGCGTGGGGCTGGACATGGAAAACGGGCCGGCGGCCCCTTCCTTTGACAAGGCGGATTTCCCTGTCCAACTTTATGACAAAGATTTCTCAGTGTGAGCCTGACCACAACTTCACACTGGTCTCTGGAAGAATGAAGAACCAACTAAGCGCATGGGGTTGATTCAACTGGTTAGAAACACTCCGAGAGCTTGACACTGGCGAGGCCCAGGTCTCAACTTAAGGGGACCGTGACAAGCAGTCCTTTGATCATATTGGCCATGCCTCAAAATACGACCACCACCCCCGTTCCAAAATGGGGGTTACCCAAAAGAAACACGTGGCCCCATGTTTGTGCCCCATGTTTGAGTCGGGTCAGGAGACCTTTGACAAGCAAAGCCTTCCAGGGGGACTTTCGCCACTTCGGGCTGCTCCGGCCTCGCCGGGCACCGGCTCTGGATTCTCCTCCACCACTTGGAAGATCAGCGCCCTGAGCCGAAGCGTCGAAGCGCGCCCATGGAGAGCGAGGTTGCGCAACAGGCAGGTGCCGGTTCGGGAATGGAGCTTGCGTATCCAGGGGTGTGGAGGTTGTACTGTATATACGCGTGTAAGGGTGCATATTAGGTGTTTTCGTCGATTCGTGCATATACATACATATATAATATATATATATATATACATTGTGCCTTACAAGCGTATATTAGTGGCTCATAAACCATCACCCAAACATCAAATCCCCATACCAAAAAGATGCCCTTGCACAGTAGTTGTTGAGATCCAACCTCAGTGCGAACATCGTCGGCCAAAGTAACTTGGACCTGGGCCAGCTCATCAACTAACTTGGTGAGAATCAAGAGGTGTGCTCACCCAAACAGTGAGGATTATCCGCTACAATGGGTTGCACCCCCGATCAGAATCGAACATGGTTTAAATTTGATTTTATGCGTCCACTGGGTTCACACTACTGCCTCTACTGCAGAGAGAAAGCAATGACAATGGCTCTCAAATCGTTTTTTTTTTTTTGGTTTTTTAATCACAAGGCCCAATTAGGTTTGGTGGCTCGCCTACATGCGCGGCACAATCCGAATGTGGAGAATGTCAAAAGCCCCGCATCCTCTATAGTCTTTTGCAGGCGAGGGGTTGTTGGCCCTCGGTTGAGATTTCTCCCCTAGCGGGGCTTTTCCACATCAGACGAGGCGACATGACGATAGGCAAGCCAGGAAACTGCATCGGCTCAAAGCTCCCCAAACCCAGCTAAACTTTTGTTTCTAGCATATGTTGTGATAGATGTTCGGAAAAGGCATACAACCACGGCTTAGCACTTGGCTTTCAAGTACCGCCGCATCCCCATTCTAACTGGGTGTGTTTTAAAATCATTAAGGGACCCCAAAACTGGTTGGGTTGGTTTCCCTCCGTTTCCCTTTAAACCAACCCAAAAAGGGGGTATCCACAAAAAGGGACAGACAGACAGACCCGATTCTTGAGGCTTGCAGTAAAAGGTAGCAGTACGCGTTTGTGAACTGCTCTCGTCGATGTCCTGGGCTCTCCCGGCACCTCCTCCCCACTCTGCAGCGATCGACTCTGAAGCAATCGGCCCTGCTGTGCCGCCACCTGCGCCTGGCGAGGGTTTTCATGGATTGTCTAGAGCTGGGGGCTCTTCGGTTCCCAGGGTTCCACAATACATAGCTAGGTCCTCCAGTAGGGATTAGAATTTGGCTACCCGATGTTTTTCTGGAACCTTCAAACCCATCCCAAAGGGGTTTGCTTCAGCTATTCTTGTCCAGAAAAAGACCGAATTCCCGTCCCTCTGACTGGGTGTGGGTTCAACCAACTTTCTGACATAGGCACCCATAGCCATGAGAATCGAGGTGGATTCGCCATCGGCCTTGGACTGCACGGACACGATCTTTATCCGCGAGCGGTCGATCTGAAGCCTGGGATCGATCTGAGATCCGCAGATCCGCTCGGACCCAGATGCGAAAAGCTCTCCTTTGGGCAGCATGGGGCTTGAAATGATCCTTCGGTGGTTGCACTTTTGGAGGGCAGTGGGCAAAGTGATCCTTTTTGGTGGCTGATAGAAATGGGCTGTGGGCTGAGTGAGCCCTGGGGTTGCCGTCCCCAAAATCAAAGCAGACGCGTGACGCACCCCTTCCACCGACCCACTTGGCTCCCCCGGCAGCGTGGCGATGTTCGCCACGATGGCCGGGCCGTCGAACTCTGCCAGGGACACGGACCTAGCGAAGCTTGCCGTTCTCAAGGCCCTCACCTTGTGCCTGGTGGACGAAATCCTCGGCACCACGAAGGGAAACCATGGGAAACCATTGCTTGTTGGTATTTGCAGGGGAAGCATCACCCCAGGGTGTTTTAGGTGGGGCAGGATTTCGTCCATCCACTGTATGGGGCAAAGGGACACTCGAAAATAACGAAAGGGACATGGCAACGGGCTTCCGAAAGGCGGGGATTTGTTGGCCTCGTTTGGAACATAAGAACTTGCCATGCGCCAGAAGTGGACCAAGTGCTGCAGGTGCTTCAGGGAACGTCAAAAGGAAGCCGCTTTTGTGTCGCGGTCAACTCTTGTAGGACATTTTTCAATTAAAGGTTGAATAGGCCCCCTGTCAGAACCAAGTTGAAATCCAAAAAACGGGTCGAGCCCATGGTTGTCCTCCCAAAGACTTTCCAAGCGTAGACATGGGGGCTGTTGCTGGCTGGCCACTTCCAATTGGCTATATAGCTCTTGTCCGAAATCATCCTCGTCCAATAACGGGGAACAACTAACAAATATGTTCAACAAAAGAGCCCCAGTGATTCTCTTTTACGGAAACATCAAAGACCCTCCAGACCCCATGTTTGGACCAGCTTGGCACACTGCCAAGGGGAAACGCGGATGACAAGGAAAACACAACACGATGAGGTAGGTTTAGAAGGACCCCATTAAAGTCTTTTTGAGGGGTGCCCTGGCATTTTGTCCGGAACCCTGAGCTTGCGCAGTCGAGACCGCGGCACTGTCATGGAAATCTGCACCACCTTGCAGACTCGCGGGAATCCACCCAGAAAACATGTTTGGAAGAACAATATTCAAAGCCATCCCAATTTTGGCCAGTGATTGAGTCTATGTTTCCTGTGACAAGCACTTGACGAGCTCCCATCAACAACGGCAACTGTGGTTTTGTGCTTGCGACATCTTGCGACCATGCACTTACCCGGCCAACTTGCATGGGACCTGACGGTGATTTTTGAAAGACGAGCTTCCGCGAGCTTCCATGTAGAAAGGGGGAGGGTAAACACAAACCAAACGTGCCCAGAATCCACAGGCCCACGCGAGCGTGGAAAACGCTTTGGGTGCCCCAGTCCCACTTAATTATCCCGTCTTCCCCCCAGGGAAATTTAAGCACAAATCAAATCCCCGAGGCGTGCGGCATACTTCATGCTCTGAATGCTCCATCACGTGGGAAGACAAACAACCTCATCAAGGATCACTTGGCAGAACCCCTGATGATCGCAATGTGCACCCACGCAAACTGCACACCCGCCCCACTCCAAACCAACATGCGCTTGCATGCACGTGCAGCCAAACGGGTCCCTGCCCGATTCTCCCTGGAGTGGATTTGGATCCCACATATGTTTGACTCCGAAACTCCGCAAAATGTGCGATTTGGACCGATCCTCCACCGAACAAGCTGGAGGTTCGAGGGAACTTCTGGATCCAGTGAAGACAAACCGGGTAAACTCCAAACTTGAGGAGCGGGTGAACGAAAGCTAGCAGTTGTTGCATGAGATGGGTCGGTGACAGAGTGGATTCATAGGTAGCTTGTGTACAACGAGAGGCCCGGCAAGATTCGTAGGATGCGACACGCAAACGCACATGGTGGCGTGGCAAACCTTGAAAAATGAAAACAACGAGAGGCGTCAGAAGCTGTCTTAAAGCACCTCTGGGTTCTGCATGCTGCGTGTGCAAAGATTCTTGCGTGGTGGTTTACCGAGAAGACTGAGGTCTCAAATGAACAAGCTGAATCGGTGCAACATGTAAAAGTTCGTAGCACCAAGTCCAAAACGGGCAAACCGAGACTGCTGAACACTGAGCCACTGCCCAGAAAAGGGGGGGGATGGACCAGGGAGGAATCGAGCCTGAGACCGGGGGGGGGGGGGTCTAAATAATTGATGTTTTCAATCTTTTCGGCTCAAATAATTGAAAAAATCAATCTTTCGGCATTTGAGCCCCTTACCTTGCTTACGCAAGGAGAAACTTCAGCTAGCTAAAGCTAGCTTTCGTGATGAGAAGCGGACCTCGGTTTGCTGTTTGACCCCCCATTTAAGAAACACAGGGTCTTCAGCCCCCCCCTAGGGGGTCGCTTGAATTTGATCAACAAGACGTAAGGCAAACCCTGAGGAACTGAGTGAGAAGGAACCTCGGCAAAATCGCAGGTTGTTTCCCTTTAATATGGTCCCAATGGGTGATGTCCTTCTGTCCCTTAGAGAGAAAAGGTAGCTACCGTGGGTGGGCGAAATCCTGCATTGGAAACCATGGGAAAACGAAGCTTGTTGGTATTTACAAGGGAATCATTCTGCCAGGGATTCTTAGGTGATGCAGGATACGCCACACCCCAAATGCTCACAAAGCACGTCGCGAACGGCTTGCGCATCGAAACACTTCGGAAATGCCTGCAGAAGGCGCAGCAGGATGAAGCCGGCGCCCAGGGTGGCGTTCTGAGCGGGCCCCGCCCCTTTCACACGCATTTGCAAAAATCTACCGCGGATGTTTCAAAAAACTGCACCCGGGATGGATGAAACCTATGTAACCTATGAATACGGGATGAATCACCTGTGAACTGGTGCAGGATGTTGTCCATCCACAGTACTTCTGATCGAAGATGGATTTCCTCAAGCGAATCCCTCCAGGTGCGATGTTGCTGGCAGGGCGCCTTTAGGGAACCATTTTTCCCCCAATGAGGTCGTCTAAAGCATCACCCTGTTGAGGCCCCCACACGCCGGCAAAAAAGAAACGTTCTGCTGTGGGATCATATCAAGATGTGTCATGAATGCAACCTGCCCGCGCTGGCATAGGATTCCGGCGCTCTATACGAAGTTGGCAATCCCTGCAAATCCCCTGCCACAAGCCTTGCTCACAAGCTTGTTGCCCCTCACTTCAACGCATAAGGATTTTTGTTTGGGGGGGGATTCCCATTCCTTTCAACCGCCGTTCTTCCCAACCGTCGTTCTTTTCAACATCCCAAAGGACTCGGCCAGCCCAAAGACGGCGACTGAAGGTTTCCCTCGGCTTCCAGGCTCGGCCGCTGAAGGTACCGCCGGCCATGACCAGGTAGAAGCGGCGCCTCGGGTCGCTTCGAAAACAAATCTGAGATTCCAAGCGCCGGGTTTTACGACATCCAAGCCTCAACATCCAGAAACCCGAAAGGTTGCACACACCCGAAGTGTCCATCCGTCTAAAGGTTGACGTGTCGATCCATTTTGTTCATCCTTCGATCCTTTTAAGAGACCACTGAAACGTCTTGGGCAATCAGCGACTTGGAAAGGATCATCCCTGGAAAGAATGCAGGAAGTACAGCTGAAACGGTCACCTGGTACGCTGAGGATCCATTCATTCGGGGTGAACATCTGTCAGAATTCCTGACCCTTCCAGGGTGGTCCTTCTGGTACCCGTGGGCTGACAAGCTTGGAGGAAAAAAAAAGAATGATTTGAGGGGGGGGGGGGGAATGTGTTCAAGGTAGTCTTAAAAGGGCCACCCTAAACTGTTGGCGTCTGAAATGGGGAACCTAAAGTCATGGTTGTATTTTTGCTTCCTTCCCTTTTGCAACAACCCCACAAAGGTTACTCTTCAAGAAGACAAACCCATGTCTCGACTTGACAAACGCGTCTTTCAGGCATGTGTCACAATGAGAGAGCCCTTGCTGCATGCTTCAGAAGAATGCCAGCAGCAAAACAAGTACTCTCAAGGTCTTTGATATGTTAGCATGTTCCCCGCCCCCCACTCCGCTTGGCACATTGCAATTTGCTGTACAACTCCACTGCACCTAGCTGTCAATTGTTAACGTATTTCGTTACTTATCTGAGTAGTCTGCACTTTTTGGGGAGAAGAAAGCAATGGTATTAGTCCTCCCCAGACGAACCATCTTGTGACTGACACTGCGGATTCATAGGGTGTTTCCACGAAGAGTGAAGGCCCCCTCTGAAATGGCACGGCCCCTCTTGCAAAGATGAAAACCAAAGCACAGAAGCCATTTAGCCCAGACCTCCAGTGATTTTTCCATGAGAAAACAGCCGCCCTTCTTTTGGTACTTCATGTTGAACTGGGTTCACCCCCCCAAAAAGAAGGACACAAAGGGCACCGGTCGGGGCACCAGTTCCATTCCTCAGGCGCAAGCTGATGGGGGTCGAAGGTGTAGCTGCCATGGGGGTCCGTCAACTCCGGCAAGCGGGGGGTCGCCTCCCTGGCCGGTCAGGACGATTTTGCCTTTGGCGAAGTGCATAGCTTCTACTTGGTTGCTTCCTGCTCCCCTGCTAAAGGTCTAACTTTTAGTGGCTTAATGGAAAACCCAGTCGTTGCAAGAAGTTAAAGTCCTAACATCCAAGCAAAATGAGCCGAAGTATAGGCAGGTTGCACTCCCCTCCTCCCTTGCCATGATACGTGACTGCAAAAGAAAACGGAAATGGTCGCTTCAGAACGAAACTAACCTTCCGGTATCCTCCAAGCGCCTTCGAGGAGCCAGCCAGGCTGCTGGTTAAATTGATGTTGCCATGAAACATGCGAACTGGTTGCTCATTTGTCCTACCCAAAGGGTAGAACAATCCTAGCCCTTTTGCGGGTCAAGCATACCACCTCACGAACCATCGGAGAACCAGTCCCACAGTCCCACGTGCCACACGATCCATGTGGTCTGCATTCTCATGACAACAGGCCAAAGCCCACTTGGCCGTGTCATAGACATCCTCCGACAACAGCCCACCGTCCACATAGACCTGCGCGAGCCGTGAGCCCTCATCTTGTTCGAAGGATTGAGTACAGCCCGGGAAGATTTGTGTTTATTGATTTGCGCTGGCCCAACCATTCCTAGAGATTCTCCTGCAACGCTGTAAGGCAACCTGATGAGCTTGGCAAGCTCAAAGGGAAACCATATGGGCGTTCCCCCTTTTGGAGACAAACGCTAGGTGTGGAGTCGCCAAATGGTTAAATCATTGCACTGCTTGGCGCTCAGAAAAACGGCCTGGTTGACTTGAAAGTGGTCAGGAAGCCATCGGCCTGCCACTTAAAGGAATATATGGGATATGTGGAATTGTCTCCGATAGGGAAAGCCCCAACATGGGCCCATGCTTCGGGCACATGATCTGTGGCTCCAGGAACCGGTCCTGACCTTCTAACACGTTCCTAGTTGCGACACGCAAACAACAAACATCACCCCGAGGACGCTGGCTCTAGATTGACACCAAAAAGGATCCAAAAGGGGATGTACAAAGAACCGTGATGAGGCGTTGTCTTCCACGGCTAGTAGGTGTGGCTACGCCATCCGCATATTCAAAGTAAAAGCAAGCCAGTTCCGCAACAAACCAGGAATGAGTCGACTGCGGACAGGAAATTGAACGACTTCTGGTGGATGCATCAATTTAGTCAGTTTTGCAAACAAATGCATGCAGGTGATGCCTGATTGCACAAAGTTTGCCCCCTAGCAGGCTCCCTAGGTCTACTAGCCAACCCGCCGCAGGAAACTTGGACCCAAATCTTGTGTCGTGGTCTGCGACTGACCCAAAAAGGTTTGGAGCAATTTCTTGTTGGCAACAAGCATTTCTTCAACACTTTTGCACTGCTGGCAGCATGCGTGGCTTCTGGAATTTCCGCTGTACTCGAGCACCCGCATTCGGTCAATGCGAGGCAAATTCCCCAATTGAGTTGGCTTTTGGCCAGTAAGAATGTGCAGCAGTGGCATGCGGGGAGTCATCATGCCCCACCAACTTGCTTGCTGTCCATCCAAATGCCAGATCTCAGACATGCCTTTGACCAATTTGAAGTGCCAACGCAGTTTAGGCAGTTTCCGAATGCCACGGCCTCCCTTTCGATGGCTCTTGCACTCGCCTTTATCAGGCAGGTGCGCAGCAGGTGGGTTGCGCATTGTTATTACAACGATGGCAATGCAGAGTTTTAGTTTCACGGGGTTTTCGCTGCGAGCATTGACTCTCAGAGCGCGAGCAAGGTCCTAAAATGCTTCACCCGGAGCCCAGCCACCCGTGCCGCTCGCCATCCGGGCCAGCCGCCTCCAAACGGAAGGGCTGGGACAGGAAGATGTCGAGTCTGATCTTCTCCTCCTGGCCGATTTTGCCGTTGAAGGGCTGGCGGCTGGGGTCAAAGGCTACGCTCAGTTGGTCACCGACCCTGGGAAAAAGGGGGTGGGGCCACCAAAAAAAATGAAAAAAGGTGCCGCTGAACAACTGAGTACAAGAACGCCCTAAAAATTGGTTGTCAATTGCGGGGTGTCCCTCTCCACTTGCCACACTGAGGACATCCGCATACATTCGCCATACGCGCCGAAAGAAATAGACCAAGAACGTAGCAGCGAGGAAGCCATCCTCGGAGGAGGCACAGTACGACAACCATCCTTTGCCCCGATTTGTGTGGCCTGGTTGAATTAGAATTCCGTTGCCCTATTTCGATCGGGCTTCTTTTCTCCTTGCTAAGAACAGCTGAGCTGAATTTCTGTGTCAGGATGGGCTTCCCTGCCTTAGGTCTGGGTGTTTGTTTCTGAAAATAGAAGAACTCCAAGAAAGCCCTGCTTGCGGTCCAGCCCTCTGCCTTACAATATGACGCGCTGGCCGAAAGCGGCCAACAGCGACTGCCGAAACCATATCAAATCCGAACTTTGCCGGGAACCCATTCTTGTTCAAAGGGGAATCAGCCTGAAACCCGCGCACGACATGTTTCCCTCCTTTTTTTTACATGCTTTTGTTGGATCTTTAAGCTGTCCATCTGGGATCCACCAACCTGGCCTTTTGGCTCTTGATCAGCCTCTGTCTGTCAGTTTGTTCTTGAACGTGTGGGAAAAACACACCTTACCCATTGACTAAACAGCGCTTGTCATTGTCACCGCTCACTTGAAAATTTAGCAAAGCACACGGCCATGGCGATGCCCGCTCCGGATTGTCATTGAACCAGAACAACCGGTGGTGCTTTGGCGGCGATGTGAACCTGCGCGCCAGCGGAAACCCCAAAACCCCAAATGTCGAGGTCTCGCAGCCTACCATGCAACACTCAGTGCTCCCGTGACAACAGCCGCTCGCACTGGAAAACGGTTCGCCCAAGCCAAACGTTCGCACAGTTGAAACTTGGATCATGTGGAAAAACGATATGAAAGCTTCCAAAATCGCCTGTATTCCAACCATGATTTCGGGGTAATGACCTCATGTTTAAAGGTAGTTGTTTTTTTCCCCAACAGCTGAAAGCTTTGGGGTCTCAGCTCAGATAGGCTCCTCCGGGGTGGTTCGGGGCGGCCCGGAGGTAAGGTTCCACGAGGGTTCCACCTACGGTTCCACCTAGCGGGTTCCACCGGGGTTCCACGAGGTTCTGCGAGGGCTGCGGGGTGGTGCGAGCACTAAAAAAAGCACGGGGATATCACCTGAGCTTGTTTTCTTCTGGTGGCCCCTTGAGTGTAGGCTACGCGGGCAAGGATGGAATTGCTACAACCCCTCATGCATTCATCTGAACACGTCAACTACGGCGTCAACAACGGCGTTGAACATGGTGAGTGTTGTGAAACACTAGCCAAGAGAAAGATTTTGAATCCGCAATTGGTTTGCAGAAATGTGCTTTGGTTTTAACAAGAAATGCGAAAAATTGCTACGCAATCCACTCGAGCCCACATCGCCGAAGCGCCCATCCCGATGTTCAGCCCGCGGCATCGTTAAATTGTACTCTTCATTCGGGCCTCAGGATTGCAGGCAGGCTGACAGGCCTTTGCAGCAATGCGGCTTCGGACTTGTTGCTGCCCCTACAAAAAACTAAAGGGAACCTCAAACAGCGACGTGCTCAGGGAGGTGCCCTTTGATTCGGTGGTGTGAATCCTCCGTTCTCGCAAGAAAAATCCTACCCGTCGAAATGTGAACTCAATGATTTGCTTCCACAAACAAGACATAGGCAGTGCTGCGCGCAAGCTACAGCCAACTCGTGCGCTCCCCAGGCTGGCAAAGTAAGGGGGACCCTATTTGCGGCCCCCAACCCGTGTGTTGTTGGCCCATGAACCCAAAGGCAAATCGGAGCGCACGAAAAAGGCTTGGGGTGGGGAAAACAGGGTCCGATAGTAAGCCGGGCACGGACTTTGAAGTTCCTGTCCTTGTCTGCGTCCGCAGGAATACAGCCTGCATGTGGGAACAGAACCATGTGCCTACTTCAACGTCGCTTCCTTTGAGCATGCCCCGGAAAAGGGACCATGAGCGAGTCGTCCAACCCACCATCTGCCCAACCGAACCCGGTAAGGGTTCAGCAGGCCAAGCAACCAGTTGGGCTCAACTGGGCAAACGGCGTGAAATGCGAATCATAAATGCAAAGCCTTCCCAGGCCTATGCAGCATGTGGGCAGAAACTTAAACCGAGCAGAACCCGCACAACACATCGGTAACACCCGTGCAATAACAGTCGAGCACGCATAATTGAAGTAAGCATCACAATGTGGCTGCGCTTGAAACCCAACACAAAAAACAAAGAAAGCGCCGCGCGCTGACACAAACACAAGCCGACAAACAATCAACACAAAACAGACAAACCAAAAGAACACCCCAATCCAAGCCAAGCCAAGTGAACCAACCAACCAATATACTCGCAAACTCGCCGAAACACGTCCCAAGATGTCCAAACCAAGGACGTGCTGACTATTTATTGGCAAATCCGGTAAATCCGACGCTCCAAATGGGAATCTCAGTGGATTGTACCACAAAGGATACTCTCAGCACTTACAATTCCTGCAGGATTCTGGGCCCCTGCTTACACGGCCTGATATTTGGCCACTGGAGAACTCCTTCCGGGGATGGAAGAGAGGTCTTGACAAGAACCTACAATGTTTTCCGTGATCCAAAAGCTGATTCAAGGGATCCCCAAGTACAGGACCTTTATCATGGAGCTCGTTACACCCCCCAGATCGGTGAGCTCGCTATAGGCAAACAAATGGCCTTGGAGGCGTGGTGACTCGGGGTCGTCCCAGCAACATGAGACCTTGTCCTCCGCCCCCGGGCCTAGCTCTGGCTGAGGACCTTGGCTAGGTCGCCGGCCATAGGCGAGTTCTCGAGGAAAGACCGGCAACTGGGTGGGTCTTGATTGAAAGGGTGACCTGTTTTGGGTCTGCAAGGAAAACCAAGAGACGAACCCAAACTAACGGTCCTCAGATTAACACGAGCAAAACCGGGAGTAGACTTAATTGACGCTCGGAAGGAAAAGGCCAGACATGGATTTCTCTGGACAACTAGCTGGAGCTGAATATTGTAAGTTTCTTCAGCCTTGCGTCAGGGGATGAGACAAATCAAAACGGCGTCGTGCGGGTGCCAAACCGGCATGTCCCAATGCCGAATGCCAGAAGAAAAGAAGTGGACTACAAGGAAGGGAGAAGAAAGGCACGACAGCGGCAGCAATGAGACATGACGCAGTCTGATCACAGTCTGCAGCTCTTTGCACGTGGCTTGAGCACAATTGTCATTTTGAAAAACGTAGGGTCTGGTCACTCTAAAGACCAGTTGCGAAATGAGACCGTAAGACCGCAAGTTAGGGTCCGAATATGAAGAAACCGGACAAGTGGACGAGTGTGCAGCAAGTTCTGCGAAGATCTCGTTGACACCCTAGCGAAAAAAATGCTGCAGTTCCATGACCCAGCGAAATAGAATTTCGGAATGCCTCTAGGTTTCCCACTCAGACTTCTCCCGTGAACAGAAAACCAATGCCTGCAACATCTCTCCCAACCCCAAGCAGGGGGTTGCACACACATTCGCAGGTGATATTGGGGAAAACACGCGCAAAAAAAAAAAACGAGAAACAAAAAACACAACTTGCCGTGACTGAAACCTTGGCCAGTGGCCCGCCGACCAGGTGGAGCGGTCGTCCGAAGCTCGCCACAACTCGCGGGTGCGAGGGTGCTGACCCCACAACTGTCATGAACCCCAGCTGAGTTGACAAGCCGCAAGGTATCAAACGGGACCCTTTTTGGGCATCCACAAGCCCTGTGAACCCCACGATCCCCAACCTCAGCTTGACAAAATGATATCACATTCCAATTGAGAGTTCTCGGTCTCGATTTGTACTCCATGTCAGCCTTCGCGCAACCTCGTGAAACCTCGTGCGAACCTTTCGCCCCATAAGCTGTCCTTTTGCGGAGCAGCTGGGCCAGAAACCCTTTCGCCGAGCTTTCGCAAATGGTCCCCGTAAACATAAAGAAGTAAGTCAAGTGCACTACGCGAAGTGCACTTCCGCAGCTCCAGCTCGAGAATCCTAAATACTTTTCAGAATAAATAGATTGAGTTGCATCAATGCCATCATCTTCCCCTGGGTTCAACATCTGCCTTTCGCGGCCCCTTTCGCAAACATGTTTGCTCGCATCCAATGCCCTTTTGCGAAGGGTTCGCGGCCCTGCGTCTTCCAATCGCGCAGCCACTTTTGCAAGACAACACTTTTACTCATGTGTCAATTGGGCTTGAGGCTCAACATGATTCGCAGTGATGATTTGCCCCCGAAAACGCATGGACGTTCAAACACACACCCAACAAAGACAGCTGTAACAACCAAAAAATGGTCGGCCAATTGTCCACAACCATGCCACATGTGAACATTGGGGGAACCCTTTTGGATTGACTTACTGTACAAACCAGCAGCAAACAAGTTTCCACCACCTTGCCCGGTGACCCCTGGCAGAAAAATAATTAGAATCCTCTTTGGTTGAAGGGATGTCAACGGGTACGGAACCATGGGATGCGAACAGAGACCTGCCCATCTTGAGGCGTTGAACAACCTTCCGGGTCCCTTCCCCAAACAATGGAAAAGGGTCGAAATGGTCGTCCCCAAACTCAGGAGATGTGCTATCTAGTTACTTTCACCCAACGGAAAAAATCCACCAAACATGAACAAATACCGATAAACAACACACAACCCATCCCGACGAAAAAAATATGGCCTTCATCTTGCTCAGAACGCGGTGCGCAGGTCCGCCCACTGCCTGCGCAGCAGGCAGTCACTCACACCAATGTGGGATTCCCACAAACCGAACATTTTCCGAGACAGGGGAATGGTCGAACTTTGGGGAGAACCCTGTTGGGCTGACTTGAGTATTGAATCCTAGGTGGCCTTTTGGCGAAATGCTGGCACTGGTTAGCCCGTTGGAGTTGGAACGCAACAATCAGTGCACTCCAGCCTGATCCAACCAAACTGACCCAAAGGACCCCTCCCCCGTTCCAACAAGTCTGTGGTTGATGTCCATAGCCCGTGCAAACCACGGCGAATCTGCAAAAACCAAACACCAGTTTGGGGCACTTCAGCGGCCCCGTCGATCAAAAAGTCTGGAGCCTCCCAGGTCAAGTATCTCAGCTGCAAGTCCGGGCAGTCGTAGAAGGAGCTGCCTTGCTCCCTGCGGCGCTCGCAAGAGCGCTTAAGGCAGCCCAAAGAGAGCCCGCGCGGGAACCCCCAAAACAACGAGGCCGAAAGAAGATGTGGATCTGGATTGGGGAACTCAAGAGGAAGAGGCCGCTCGAGGGTGGTTTCCCCAAGCTGAGGCCTTCTTGAGGACACCAAGGAGAACCGGGCCCACTTTGCTCCTCGTTTCGCGACAAACCATTCTAAGAGTTGGGTCTTCGGGCAGCACCCAACATCTTTACCCCTTTCCTGGCCCTTTGGGGTTAATTTGAAGAGCCCCCGTTGGTTTATGTTCTTTACGGCAGGCGCAGTAGCTGCAGTAGTTGCACTGGGAACAGCAAATTTGGACGGCTCCCATCCATTTGTCATCTCAAAAGCCTCGTAGCTTCGCCCTGATCCAGAGCCTGCAAGGTCCAGAAGTGGAAGCAACCTGTTGCTTTCTCTTTGGAGACACGTCAACACATCAAGAGGAAAAACAACTCCTGGCCCACTCAATCCCCAGCCACCCAACCCACCCCAAAGCTTAACTGATGTGGACCATTTAGACACCTCCTGGTACGTCGAGTTGCAATGTCAGTGCTCGATTCGTAAACCCCTCCATCAAAGGTTTCTCCTTGTGCCTCCCAGATTCCCACTAATACTAACGTAGACAACCCAGTCCATTTTTCGGGCCTCCCTCTAGTGCTTCCCACAAAAAGCGCTTTCCACAACGTGCGTGCTCAAAATGACAAGGTGTTGAGGCTCACAAAGGACACCCCTTGGAGGCCAGCCCCCTCCCCCGCAACCAGTCAGGACTCATTTGAGTCATTTGGGCTCTAGAAGCGGCCAAGAAGGCAAGGACCGAAGAGGTTCTCCAGGTTCCTGTTCCAGTTCAATTGGGCGGGAAGTGGCCCGAAGTCAAAGGACGAGGACCGAAGAGTCTCCAGATTTATCACGGGGGTCCTCCAAACAAATTATCAATTTCGGGGAGATGATTTGGGGGTTTGTCCAGACCTTGTCAACCTTGAAGGGGGGGGGGTGCTAATCAGGGAGGGGGTAACAATCATTTTCTTGGAGCTACCCTTCTTAGCTTCTCATGGGCGCCATGTCTTGGGGTTGCATCGATTTTTGCCCCATACCGGCACTTCGAGGAACGGCTCAATGCTGCCGAAGCGAGCCGATTGAGCCCCTTGCTGACAGGTCTGCAACGCCAGCGCGGGGTTGTACACCGTCACCAACTGGTTGCCAGCGGTGAGGTGCCAGGCCGGGGAAGGTTGTGCCACAGCCAACCCTCCAAGCAGCTGGCTGGTTTTTGTCTTGGCAATTTCCTCTAAGATGTTCCTCCAAAAAAAAGGACTCACCGCCAGGGTGGATATGAAACTTGGGAGGTGGGTTTTCTCCATGCATGATGGGTTCAATTGGCCGGGGTACAACCAAATGTGTGTTTCTCGAAATGGGATCCAGCTGGTTTAGTCTCCTGCAGGCGTCCCCTTTCATCCTTAAAAATGACAACAGGTCACTGAACAAACCACGAGGTAGCTTGGGGAGCTCCCAGCGAAACAAGCCCTGACTAAACACAAATAGAACCAAACAAGCAACCCGAATGATCAAACATGCCAAGAACACTGAAGCAGGGACTTTCCAACACAAGCACGCTCTTGATGGGTCACTAAAACAAAATCTGACGCCATTTCTGCAGGTCCAACTCCCATGTTAGGACTTGCCAACAAAAGAAAGCTGTGAACACATCAAAGTCCAAGTTTGGGTAAGTTTGGGCCACTCATTGGATGACGTATTCATTTGATTCCACGCCCCAACAGGATCAAGAGATAAGCAGGGCCGCTTCTCAGAAAGCTGCCCAATTCTTCCAGCAGGTATCGGGCAATGCTTCTATGTGTAAGCAATGGTGCACAAAATGGGACAAACACAGACACATGCACTGAGTAAAGCCAAAGACCCGCGCTGACTGCTTTCTCTTTTCCAGCCAGTCTGTGTCTCCGGGCCGAAGCATCAGCACTGGTGGTGCCCAACAGAGTGCCGTCCACATCTGTCAGGGCCTCAGCCAAAATGCGTGCCACTCCATGGCTTCCTTCACGGAGTACTCAATGGATGGATTGATGACATGGGGCGAAGCTTCTTACTCTCGAACTCTGCCCATGTCATCCCTGAAATTGATGACCACTACCAACGCCAAGTAAAGGGGTCTTCTGACGGCACACATGCGCTTGTGAAGTGCACAAACAGGAAAATGCCAACCCGTCTCCAAAAGCGGTCTGCGCACTCCTATGTTTGCGTCCAGTGGATTCAAAAGACTACACGCTGCCTGTTCAACGTGGGTACAACAGGGTTGGCCAAGATAAGCGTCGATTGCCAAAATTTTGCAGAGTCAACACACCCAAAAAGGGGATATGGAAACCCATGTGTGACGTTTTTTGCTGTCCATACGACTTCGGCCACCAACAAATGACCATATGGTTATTTACGAGTTGTTGTCAACAATTTGTTGATTGCATACGGCCAAATACGGCCACCGGCCAGCAAAAACTGATATATGGGAAAAACGATCCATATGCGGGTTCCGTCCAAAAAAATGGCCATACGGCATTCCAGGTAACTTAATGGGAAATGGAGCCCCTGTTTCCGAGGGTGTCCCCGGAACAGCACAGCAAAGGGAACGTAGTGCAGAAACCGGATTTCCAGGGTCGAAACCCCTCAGACCCCAAGCCCATTTACGAGCTGGGCTTGTCACGAGAAACTGCAACTGGCGATCCTTCGCCTTCCCAGTGCGGTCGGTTTCTAGGGTGCCGATCGATATGCGACCGACGGTTCTGAAGGCGCCGGCCATTTGGCTTGTCCCGTCGAAGTCTGGGCTCATGCTCACCTGTCCATGGCCCCAAACTGACTTGTGTAGAACAACACGGGGCTTTGGGCTCTTGGCGCTCACATGGAACTTGGCGCAACCCTTTCCCTTTGCTCCTTCCACGCAAAAGCGACAATGGAAGCAAACGAGAAAGTGGGTTTGGGCAGAGTTTAAGGTGTGGGCGTGTGGGTTGTGGGTTTTAGGGTGGGTCTAGGGTTGGTTGGGTCGGTTTAGGGTTGGTTTCGAGTTGGCTTAAGGTGGCTTTTAGCTTGCTTGCTTGCTTGCTTGCTTGCTTGCTTGCTTGCTTGCTTGCTTGCTTGCTTGCTTGCTTGCTTGCTTGCTTGCTTGCTTGCTTGCTTGCTTGCTTGCTTGCTTGCTTGCTTGCTTGCTTGCTTGCTTGCGTACGTGCTTGCGTACGTGCTTGCGTACGTGCTTGCGTACGTGCGTGTGTGCGTGCTTGCGTGCATGCATGCTTGCTTGTATGCATACTTGCTTGCGTGCTTGCTTGCTTGCGTTCCAGGGGACTTCAACAACAACTGCCAATACGGCGAGAAAACCACACAAGTCATATAGCACCCTTTGCGAAAACGTCTTTAAAGCTCAATTAAAACTGCAATCTTTGATCGAGCAAAAAGAGAGAAAATGAAGCACCTTGCAGCAAGATCTCTTTCAGGGGTTGGTTTGAAAGGAAACCAAAAGCAAACCTCCCACTTTGCAGGGCAACCTATTTCGAGACACAGCAACATCATCCCACAACTTGTATCCATACAAGATACGCTTCCCAAATGCACCTGTACCAAAAAAAAACACGGCAGGTCTCCTCCTGAACCGAGCTGGGGTTTGGATTTTTATTTTGTTTTTGGACCAAGGACCCTCTAGCTCATTTTGCGAGTGATGCGACCAATGACTTCTTCCCTTGTCTTAACCCCATATTCAACCTGGAGGATTTAGCTGGGCTCTTCGCCAAAGCCAAGGAACTCCTCGATGGGTTGAACCGGATTGCAAGTCTTGGTCAAAAAATGCATGAACCGCGGACAAATTGCATACTTTCCCAAAGGACACCAAACAAATTGGGACTCCCCCCCGGCTCCTTTGGTGACCTCTACGGCCTACCGGGAAATGGAATCGCTCACCTACACTCCGAACTCCTCCAAATTGCAACCCCAAAGAAACTCAACCTGAGTCCATTGCCAAATCCAACCTTTGGAGAAAAAACTTCCCACACGAGAAACAAAAAAAACACCAAACACCGCGAAACAAAGCCCAGCTCCAACGCGAAGCGCCCAGCCCCGCGCCCGGTTGCCGGTCGCCCTGGACTCCCCGAGGAACACCTTCGCGGCAGCCTGCGAAAGCCGGGGCCCCGCGTCCCCGGGCCGGGCCCCGGAATTCGAAGGGCTTTGGGGCCCCGGGTCCATCTGCCAAATTCAGCGAAAAAGAAAAAAGAAAAAGCATAACGCCACTGAAACATATGTATATATATATATATTAAATTAATGGGAGGGGGTCTGATTTTGATCCATAACGCTAAGCTACAAAAACGGATATCTTTATTCAATAAGCGGGGTCTAATTTGTTTTTCAAAAAGGAAATCCCAGTGCTTGTTCCAAAACAAATATCCCAGTGAAACACATGTTTGGTGGGAAGCTGAGAATTATTGGCACCAGAAGTAGTTAACCCTTAAACAACCGGTTGAAACAAAAGAAAACCTCCCAAGGCTGAGCGAGCTAGTTTCCTTTTCTGGCTCAAACAAATCCCACATTATCCATGTCGGCTTTCCCTTGGTCCCTTTTAGTTTGCAATTGGGAGCCAATTGCCAAACAGGGAGCGGTTTGATGCGGTTTGCCACCAAGAAGCGATGGCACCAGAACACCACAAATTCAAATCGAGTGGGCGCCAAAATGTTCAGGGGGAAGGACTGCTCCATGGATTGCCACGAAATCATACCTGCCGGATACCAGAAATTCACCCCAGCCAATCACTGCACGTATTGCAGTTCCCAGCATGATTGGCAAGAAGAATTGGCTATGGCACACCCTTGGTCACAGCCTGGTGACTTTTCCCTGTTCAAGCAAGCCTCCTTCGAACGAGTGCCTAAAACATCCTCTACTTTGCCAGTGACTTCTTTCAAGGGAACAACCCTTGAAGCACCAGAAAGCAAAATGACTGGTTGTACTTCAACGGGGATCCACTGGGATTAGGATCCACCGGCTTATCATCCGGACATCTGTTCATCAGTTTCCCAAGCACAAGCAAAGTGCATGACATGGGCATTGCCTGGTCCAAGTCTAGATGGTCATTGACCTCTTCGTGTGTCTTCTCGCCTGAGCAACAAATCCAACCTTTAGAATCGAAGGTTCAAAGGAGAATCATTGATTTTCTCAACCATCAATAAGGGGCCACTCGGATCCGTCCAAACTGGCTATGTGCTTCGGCCCTCCAAAATCCGACGACAGGACTCCGGAGTCCTCCACTGACGGGAGCCACTTCACCGACGTGAACAACTGGGGATAAGCCGTGTCGATGTTGGTCGGGTTGTACCTTCGCTTCTGAGCGAGGCCAAAGCAATCAAAGCGAGGCGGTTTGGGTGGTGAGACATGCAGTCCCTGCGAGCTGACAGAAAGGTATCCCCCAACTGCATCTCTTCCCTGTATCTTTCCATGGCCAAGGCCTCACCAGTTGCTGTCGTCTCAAAGGAAGGCGAAGAGCTCAGTTCCAACTTTCAGGTGGGCATCTGTTGTTGTTACCTGGTTTGGAGATTCAACGGGGAACCCAAGGGGAAGCGCCTATATTCCAGGTTCCCCTCTGAGACAAATTCCAGATCTAGATGTGTTGTTTTTTGAGGGTGATCTTCCGGTTCTTCGAACCCAAACAATGAACAAAGAGTCAATGTCCAGGGTCTCCGTGAAATGTTTGTTCAGTGACCCTGCAAGCTATACCTAGGCATCCAACAAGGGTCAAAATAGGGATCCGGACCCCCAAAACCGCCAGTTCTTGGTTTGCGTCCCTTTAAGCCCACCTGAGGAGGGCATCCAGAAGGGTTCCCCCGATTTTAAGACGCCTCAAACATCCAAGGGCGGTGTTTGCCCCGATGTTTTTCTCAACGCGCCCCGATGTTTCGCGACGGAGGCCGAAGCCGCACGTGAAGGCGGCAGAGGGCCGGCCGCAGTCGGAGGCCGACCAGTGGCCAAACCTGGGCGGATGGGAGCCCTTTTGGATGGTTTTAAGGAGAAAACCAAAAGGAAAACTGAGCGCCGCTTTTGGGGGTAAGCTTCTTTTGACACGTACCCATATGTGAAGCCGCATATTCAGGATTCTCAGTATCCCATTTGATCCTGCTTTTTTTCCTTCACAGTTGTTGGGGAATCCTGACTCGGACCAATCGACTTGATACAGGAATAGGGTGCAACTCATTTGAAAGTAGAAGCTTTGCCTCTAAAATGGGACGCCCCCGGTGGAAGCTCTCAAGTTCCGGTGTGTCGAGCCCTTACCTCCATTTGCTTAAGACCCCTGGGAAAAACATATAACCCTTAAAAACCAACAAATATTCATTTCAGCAAAAATGGAGGCGTATTTTGGTCGTCAACCCCGTGGTTTTAGGTCCAGGATTCCCAAGAGAGCCGTGGGCCTCGGAGTTTTGGACCGATGCCTCGGGTCACAAACGCCAAGCTCTGGGGTCCATGGCGTAATTGCGTCCCAGTGCGCCTCCGAGTAGCGTGAGCCTTGCGAGTGAAAATCTCAGGTTGGAAAATGGGAGGTCTGGCAATATTCGAAACTTGCTCATCCTTGTTGCTTTCCTTTTAGGAAAGAGCGCACACATTGCCTGGAGTCTGGACAGTACCCTAGCAAAAGTGGGGGTATCTCAAACTTGTGGGTACAACAGGAAAGCCAAAGAACATCAAACCACTTGAATGGGGTCCGTAAAAGCATGAAACACACATTTGGTAACTCCACCCCCCCCCCAGAGGATTTTAATTCTCTTCATGGAGGCCAAGCCTGTGGACCGTGGACAACCCGCTGGGTTTCTGCTCGACTGATTGACCCTTCAAAATATCGGGCACGTGTGCAAAACCCATAAGAAAACCATGGACCATTCCAACCCGGTTGGTGGCTTGGTTGCTGGCTTGGTGGAACGGAGGTTTCGCTCCCGTATCGCCGATCGGAAGTGAAGCCCTCCTTCCCGTCGGGTAAACAACCTCTTGCAACTCACCTGCCCAACAAAACCTGGAAATAAAAGGCATGCGAGAGTTGGAAGGAAACACAAGCATGCTGTGAGTATCAAGGGCCTTTGTTAGCGGCAATTGCTCCAATGCAAATTGGGGATGAAACGCATCAAACCCCAGTATGAAGTTGGTTGGCGACAAGAAATAGCTCCCTGTTTTGAGACGCAACCTATGTGCAGACCAACAGCAGCACGATGTTACGTCTTTTGTGTTAACTGGTGAAGGACAAATAGAAAAACCACAGAACATACGACGAAGCAAAAAACATCTACCCATGGTCGCCCTTTTGATGCAAAAAATGAAAGCACCTGGTTCGGCCAACCAGGAGTGGCGTGGAGCCTAGACCTTTTCGTCGAGTCCAACCGGCAACTGAAAATAGAGCAGAATGGGTGGTGCACCCCAAAATGGTACCATTGGTTTTGACCCACAGCCCATCTCCATCTTCCCGAAACGACGAGCTCCGAGCTCGCCTTCGAACCCCCAACCCCCCAAACCTCTGGCCTGCGCTGCCGAGGCGATGCTCCCAGGGCATCACCTCAGCTGCGCGCTTGAACATCAGCACCACGCCTTTAAGCCACAAATCCGAATTTCGTTGCAGCCAGGTTTCGGAACTGCGGGTATCCTTTGTCCTCTGAACATTTGAAGTTCAACTTGTTGTGCCTTTCACAAATTGATTGGTATTGGCCAACATGTCGAACCAATTGGCCCAGCCAGAGTGCTTGATGTTTACCAACCAAACAGGTAAGCTGCTTATCCGCACCAGAACCACCCACCTGCCATGCAAAAATACGTGAGCCAACATGTCACTCCGAGCAACGTGTTTTCCGCAGACTTTCCTCTTCACCACCTGCGCAGACGATATACGCAATCACAGCCTGACCCCTCGAGCTGTTTGTTTTTAATCTTCGCCTCCCACCGAGCGCCGCATCCCGCGGGCTCAGAGCACCTGAACGCCCTTTTGGACGTGAGCCATGGCCGAGACATGGGACAATCAGGGCTCCGTGGTGAAATTGTGCGTCTCATGTCCATCTCAAATTGACCACAGGCTGGACCGAGCCAGCCAAACTTTGATACATACCTCATGTGAGCCATGGTCAAAACTTCCCAAGGCCACGGTCATGGTTCTCTGAATGGACGCAGGACTACGGGTCCGTCACCATCCCTACCAACCGCAAGTTAAGGTCTGTGTTCTTGGCAGGACTTCAAAAAGGCTACCGTTGGCCCGTCAAACGAAGAAGCACAAGGAGACAGAGAAGGCCAAGCGGCCAACAAGGTTAACTGCCGCAAATCCCTTTATTTGGTAAGGGGATGGGCTTAAGCCAAAAGGGAAAGGTGCGCCAACTTTCACCCAACTGTACGTTCAGGCTGGCAATATTGCTATTGTCACTTCACTTCGGCCCTTGAGGCACGGACACATAGCTTTACAGGCGTGGTCGGGGGGCGGCAAACCTGGCCACACTCACGAAGCACAATTCGGCCCTCTTTCGGTATTCTATGTGTGGCCCACACTGGGCACAACTGGAAGCACTTTCGAGCTGAACATGTTGCCATTTTTGCAATGTGTGGGGCTTCTTCTGGATCCCCATCTTTTCTTGACTACTAGGCTTCCCGATCTTCCAAGCCTCCAACACTTCTTCTAGCTGTTGAGCCTACTCAAGCGCTCAGCTTCAATTGACTTCCTGCAACTTCTCCTCCGAATGGCTGGCTTGTGCACCCCGTTTTCTCCCCACAATGAACCCCAAAGCTGTTTCGTCCTGAACTTCTCGGACTGATCCAGTCAGACAGCGACTGGCGCCACGATTTCCACGGGAAGTGAGTGTCAAGAATGCTCACGGGTGCGGGTTTCAACCCGAAGAGTTGTGACAAAGCCAAGGACACCATGCTCTTTTGTCTTTGGGGATATCCTGTCACAGTCACCGGCCCGGGACGGTCACTCTCCATTCGGCACACTCAGCCACATAGGCGTGAGCCGTCGGAACCTGAACCCGGAGTTTGGAGACAGGGAAGGCGGGGCTTTTCACGTTGCGTACCCGGCGGATGGGGTACCGCTGCACGCAAGCAGGGGTCCCAACAGGAATTGGCCAGGTGGCCTTCCGGGTATAGCCCGGAGCCGCTTCAAAGCACCCACATGGATGTTTCTCAATACAGGGTCGTTTAGAATGATTGGCTTCCTTTTGGATCCTCTTTAAAGCACCTTTTGCAAAGGGTGTTTGTAGACACCCCCGCCCTTCAGCCAGATCAAACACACTCTCTCGAGCCTTGAGCTTGCCCATCTCACAAAGCTTTGGAAGGTTGTTGATCATGTGGGTCATGATGCCCACCTCAGCCAGTGGGTGTCGAGGAAAGTGAGCAAGCCCCCGACACCCCCGGCATTTGACTCTGGTTTGTTTTGGTGATAGGCCTCACCTTTTACCCCCAGGCCGAAGGGCATATCGCTGGGGATCTACTCCAATAGAAAGAATCAAAAAGCCAAACATCCGTGGCTGGGACTGTTCTTCCAAAACCAAACGCGCAGTGCTCTTCGGGCCAGTCCAAACACAAACATTCCAGCTGTGCGTTTCTGCATTCGGAGATGTGCCAGAATCCAGGGCTCCGGTGTGGGCATTGATAAGCTGAACAAATAGGAACTCAAGTCAATCGATGACATGACGAAAAACTTGCAGCATTGCTTACTAAACCTACATTGTTTTGCATGTTTGACCGGGCCCTTGATTCAGGGTTCGGTTTGCAGTGCTCCGAGAATCAGCGCCTACGCCTGTCCATCGATGCGGTTGCTAAAGCATAGTCTGTTAGGGTTAGGGTTCCAGAAAGATGTGGTCCCAATCTGGAAACCTGGTGACCTTCGTCTATCCTATCCCAAAACAAGGCGTCCCCATTGATTGAACCCTGTCGGCCTGTGGAATTGCGGAAAGCCAAGCGCTAAGCCTTTCAGGAGGAAACTGCCATTCAGACATAGGAAACACCCAAGAAAACGCCTGCGAGAGTCGGGGACCCTTGCAAAATGGCCTTGGCACTGCCTCACAAGCGATCCGGACATGCCCATTTCCCCGTGCGCGCACATGTCAAAAAGGCTTCCCCAAGAACTACGCAGCATGCCTGGTTGAGGGAAATCGAGTGAGTCCCCATGTCCCTTCCAAATACACCATAGACTACCAGTGTTTCTGACCGAACCTCACCAGGATTCAACGGAACACAAAGCGTCAGTCCCATCTCGCGAGCCTCAAGTTGCCCAAGTGGCCACCCAAGTGACCCTGTCTCGCCTTTGCACACCTTGAAATGGTGTAAGAAAAACCCAAAACACCCTCGGAAATGGTGTCAGTTCGAACTTCCAAGAGCTCTTGGGGCGATTCAAGGCGAAGGACGAGTTGATGAATCTAAAGGTTCAGCGTGCCGAGAGTGGGGTAGGTACTCCTATACCAGATACCGTATACCCATTATATATACATATGTATATACATATACATGTCACGGGTGTAGGTATGCATAATACCACACACACACACGTAAACAGATAGAACATATACACCTAGAATTATTTGTAGCTCGTGTACATCAGAGGCCCACCTTTGGCATGCCGAGTTGTTTGTATCAGCACCCAGCGTGCCGGGCCGTTCGAGGCCCCCGGCCCGGCGGAAGCTGTTGCCGATCACCGAGTTGCAGGTCTCCCCGACCACGTCCTCGCGGCCTTGAAAAGAACAAGCAAGCAGACAAACAAGCAAACAAACAAACAAACAAACAAACAAACAAACAAACAAACAAGCAGCAATCACACAAACAAGCAGGCAAACGAACGAACAAGCAAGCAAACAAACAAGCAACAAAAACGAACAAGCAAGCAAGCAAGCAAACAAGCAAGCAAGCAAACAAAACAAGCAGGCAAACAAGCAACAGACAGATAGGGAGACACACAGACTGACAGATCCAAACCAAAACAAACCAAGACACACCGAACAATCCGAACAAACCAAAGACAAACATAGAGCAGGCCCGGTAGATTCGAGTTTGTCTTGTAATTTGATTATCGGGAGTCTGTGGTACTAAGCTTGCTTGCACAGGTGTGCTTGACGTTCAACAGTTTGAGCAACAAGCCAATGACTTCTGTTCCTGATGGTGGCTCGACCCGGATTTATCAGACCTTCTCATGGGCGACCCTCTCGACTGGCACCCAGTTTCCCGTTTTGAACATTTTCTGGATCCTACCTCTAACAGGAAGACCGCACCATTCTTTGGACCTTCTTAGGGTGCTCAAAAACCCTGGCCCAAGGGGAGGCCATGCTCTATCCAAGCTTCAAGGAGCAAACATTGGAGTCAGCCTCTCCCGGCAAACTCACCATGCATAATTGGCATATTTGCGGTCCTTAAGTCACCTCATAAGGGGATGTTGATTGTCTTTACCTGCCTCACAGGCATCAAGAGTGAGGAACCCCGAATATCAGGGTGGAACACCAGCCCCAACTTGATACATGCGTGTTTCTAGCAGATGGGCGGTAGTAAAAGGCGTCCAAAGGAGACCTCTATATTTCTGGGAGACCATTCTGTGGTTCCCTCCTCAAAATACCCTCCCAAGAAAGCTGCAGGGAAAGTGCCCCGGTTTCTAAAATTGAAACCCCCTGCAAATGACCGGAACAAATCGGTGTGTCCTTACAGGATCCTACACGTCGTTTTGGGGGGGAGTCCCTGCCGCCAGCTAAAAGGAGGTCCTTGTATGGTAGTTGACGGCTAACAGCACGCCTTTCTCCTGAGTATTTTTATAGCGTCGCTCAAGGGTCATCCTCTTCGTCTCCTAACCACTGGTCACCAATTCCGAGTCAGCTGAAAGCGGCGAGATAGAAGTGCCTATGCCCTTTCTAATAGAACAAACTATCCAAACAAAAGGGGCTTGCACTTCCACTTTTGTTGCAAAAACATGGCTTCCCGTCGGCCTGGTTCCAAAAGAGACTCCTTGGGCGCCGGGCCTAGAGCCCGGCAGTCGATGGAGGCGTCGCCTTGGGCGAAGAGAAAGCTCCAGGCCCCGAGGCTGGAGGCTCGGACGCGAGTTTTTTGAACCCCCTTCCCAAAGGAGAAACTCACCATCGACATGGTGCCTTTCCAAATGGAATGGTGAGGAACCAAAAAACCCACCGTGCTCGTGCTCAGGTTGTAGAATGGGAACCAAAATGCACGTAGGTCACACTCTGAACGGAAATCCGAGGCTTTCGGAAGAGATGTGTAAGCCTCGCAAGAAGGACAGATTTAATCTTTGGCCCACATCTGGGTTGCACAGGAAATTGTATTATCTGTGTCCGTTCCAAATTTCATCTACCCCATAGTAAAATATAACAAAGCTTTGGAGCAAACGCCAGCAATGTGGATTACGCTCTGGCTCACTCTGCTGCCTCACTCAGGCCCGCGCATGTGGAGGCAGGCGTTGACCCGAAGACCGACATGTTGTAGGAGTAGATCTGGCCCACTCACGGTCAGGTCGGCAGGTGCAACAGTCATTGGTTCTGTTGGATAATTCAAACACAAAGGGGAATACGGGTGTATTTTTGGAGTGAATACCTTTTTGGGTTAAAATGTTTGACCCTTCCAAGGGAAATTGTTCGGAGCCCATTGAGGGAGCGCAGCCAAATGGAATCCAAACGCTGCTCACATCTCTCGCATACAGGGTTCCCTATATCTCCCGCCAAAAAGACAGCCTAGGTCCTCCAGTAGAGAGGCTAGAATAAGGGTACCGTTTTTTCTGTGGTGTATTTTAGTAGGGGAGCCCTCCCCCAAAACAGGGTAAAAGGGCACTACTGGGGACCTAGCAACTCACACCCAAAATAGGCAACCACTGGCTCCTTTGGGCAATTAAAGCGGCCACGGCCATTGAGACCCGGCAAAAGGTGACCTCCCCTCCGCGTGCCCGGTGGCTCATGTCGGGAGAGGACCGCACAAAGCGAAGGCCCACCTCAGCTGAGAGAGTGCCGGGTTTTGGGTTTTGCGGCGGAGAACCTTCGGGCGAGTTTCCCGCCCCGCCCCTGCCGAGCTCACATTTGAACCCAAACAACTGAATGGTTGGAGACATCTCCTTGAGTGCCCCCTGTTTGGGAATGTGTAAAAACTTGCAGGGTGGAAAACCTGGTATTCGAGGAGTGCACCCCAACCCCTGCAAATATCCGCACCTAGGTATGGTTTGGACTGTGCCCGGGTTCTGATTGTGGCTCACATGGATGTGCCTCAGGAGGCGAATCCACGCTGGTTAAGAATGGATTGAAAGAAACAACTTACCACCAAGTCTTTTGCCATCAGCGACACTTTGGATGGCTGCCCCGTCCAAGGGCCGGCAGCGGCCACACGCCCAGGACTCCATCTGAGCCATCTCTGCGACCATTGATCACTGAGTACATGGGCGTTGGCATGCAATACGGAGGCAGGTGCAAGTTAAACCGATGAAACCCAATGACTTGCGCTCCTTGTGCTTGATGGGCTTCGTCATACACACCGGAAACAAACTTGGTAGGATGGTACTCATTCTTCTCTCCGGCATCTTCGGGCCAGTGTGCAACGGCGATGTACTTGGAACCGCTTGCCTCAAAGTTCTTCAAAGCCTTCACTGACAAGTCTGAGTCGATGTGGATGAAAACATCGCGGGTGTGTATCAAATCCACCTTTGGTGGCACCATGCAGGTGATGTCAAAGACACCAAAGCGGCCTTGGAAGCGCGGATCATCCTCGAAGGTCATCAAATTGTTTTCGATGAGGCTCGGAGAGATATCACCGCCCATGTACTCCACACCACTCAGATTCATGTGAGACATCCAGGTCATGTCTCCGCAGGGCACATCTAAGAACCGCCGCACCTCCAGCTTGCCAAACATGGAGTGCAAGAATTGTCTCACCTCTGCAGTTTGCTGCACGGATGAGCCAACACCTCACCCAGGGTGACCACATGTGATCACGGCCAGAAACAACACGTTGAAACATGTTGAAACGAAAACCAGTTGAAACTTGTTCTGAAACATATTTAGATGGTCCCATGCGACTTGTGCCTGAGGGTTGAATTCCCGTGGGCTTCTTCAAGGACCACTTCTGCAAGCGCGTTTTCATCGCCAAATCCCAGGATTTCGTGTGCTTGGAGCGCTCCTCTGGTGAGCATTGGTCGATGGCTTGCCGAACCCAAGGCTCGGTCAGACTCGGTCGACACTTTGGATGGCTGCCCCGTCCAAGGGCCGGCAGCGGCCACACGCCCAGGACTCCATCTGAGCCATCTCTGCGACCATTGATCACTGAGTACATGGGCGTTGGCATGCAATACGGAGGCAGGTGCAAGTTAAACCGATGAAACCCAATGACTTGCGCTCCTTGTGCTTGATGGGCTTCGTCATACACACCGGAAACAAACTTGGTAGGATGGTACTCATTCTTCTCTCCGGCATCTTCGGGCCAGTGTGCAACGGCGATGTACTTGGAACCGCTTGCCTCAAAGTTCTTCAAAGCCTTCACTGACAAGTCTGAGTCGATGTGGATGAAAACATCGCGGGTGTGTATCAAATCCACCTTTGGTGGCACCATGCAGGTGATGTCAAAGACACCAAAGCGGCCTTGGAAGCGCGGATCATCCTCGAAGGTCATCAGATTGTTTTCGATGAGGCTCGGAGAGATATCACCGCCCATGTACTCCACACCACTCAGATTCATGTGAGACATCCAGGTCATGTCTCCGCAGGGCACATCTAAGAACCGCCGCACCTCCAGCTTGCCAAACATGGAGTGCAAGAATTGTCTCACCTCTGCAGTTTGCTGCACGGATGAGCCAACACCTCACCCAGGGTGACCACATGTCATCACGGCCAGAAACAACACGTTGAAACATGTTGAAACGAAAACCAGTTGAAACTTGTTCTGAAACATATTTAGATGGTCCCATGCGACTTGTGCCTGAGGGTTGAATTCCCGTGGGCTTCTTCAAGGACCACTTCTGCAAGCGCGTTTTCATCGCCAAATCCCAGGATTTCGTGTGCTTGGAGCGCTCCTCTGGTGAGCATTGGTCGATGGCTTGCCGAACCCAAGGCTCGGTCAGACTCGGTCGACACTTTGGATGGCTGCCCCGTCCAAGGGCCGGCAGCGGCCACACGCCCAGGACTCCATCTGAGCCATCTCTGCGACCATTGATCACTGAGTACATGGGCGTTGGCATGCAATACGGAGGCAGGTGCAAGTTAAACCGATGAAACCCAATGACTTGCGCTCCTTGTGCTTGATGGGCTTCGTCATACACACCGGAAACAAACTTGGTAGGATGGTACTCATTCTTCTCTCCGGCATCTTCGGGCCAGTGTGCAACGGCGATGTACTTGGAACCGCTTGCCTCAAAGTTCTTCAAAGCCTTCACTGACAAGTCTGAGTCGATGTGGATGAAAACATCGCGGGTGTGTATCAAATCCACCTTTGGTGGCACCATGCAGGTGATGTCAAAGACACCAAAGCGGCCTTGGAAGCGCGGATCATCCTCGAAGGTCATCAAATTGTTTTCGATGAGGCTCGGAGAGATATCACCGCCCATGTACTCCACACCACTCAGATTCATGTGAGACATCCAGGTCATGTCTCCGCAGGGCACATCTAAGAACCGCCGCACCTCCAGCTTGCCAAACATGGAGTGCAAGAATTGTCTCACCTCTGCAGTTTGCTGCACGGATGAGCCAACACCTCACCCAGGGTGACCACATGTCATCACGGCCAGAAACAACAGGTTGGAACATGTTGAAACGAAAAACAGTTGAAACTTGTTCTGAAACATTTTAGATGGTCCCATGCGACTTGTGCCTGAGGGTTGAATTCCCGTGGGCTTCTTCAAGGACCACTTCTGCAAGCGCGTTTTCATCGCCAAATCCCAGGATTTCGTGTGCTTGGAGCGCTCCTCTGGTGAGCATTGGTCGATGGCTTGCCGAACCCAAGGCTCGGTCAGACTCGGTCGACACTTTGGATGGCTGCCCCGTCCAAGGGCCGGCAGCGGCCACACGCCCAGGACTCCATCTGAGCCATCTCTGCGACCATTGATCACTGAGTACATGGGCGTTGGCATGCAATACGGAGGCAGGTGCAAGTTAAACCGATGAAACCCAATGACTTGCGCTCCTTGTGCTTGATGGGCTTCGTCATACACACCGGAAACAAACTTGGTAGGATGGTACTCATTCTTCTCTCCGGCATCTTCGGGCCAGTGTGCAACAGCGATGTACTTGGAACCGCTTGCCTCAAAGTTCTTCAAAGCCTTCACTGACAAGTCTGAGTCGATGTGGATGAAAACATCGCGGGTGTGTATCAAATCCACCTTTGGTGGCACCATGCAGGTGATGTCAAAGACACCAAAGCGGCCTTGGAAGCGCGGATCATCCTCGAAGGTCATCAAATTGTTTTCGATGAGGCTCGGAGAGATATCACCGCCCATGTACTCCACACCACTCAGATTCATGTGAGACATCCAGGTCATGTCTCCGCAGGGCACATCTAAGAACCGCCGCACCTCCAGCTTGCCAAACATGGAGTGCAAGAATTGTCTCACCTCTGCAGTTTGCTGCACGGATGAGCCAACACCTCACCCAGGGTGACCACATGTCATCACGGCCAGAAACAACAGGTTGGAACATGTTGAAACGAAAAACAGTTGAAACTTGTTCTGAAACATTTTAGATGGTCCCATGCGACTTGTGCCTGAGGGTTGAATTCCCGTGGGCTTCTTCAAGGACCACTTCTGCAAGCGCGTTTTCATCGCCAAATCCCAGGATTTCGTGTGCTTGGAGCGCTCCTCTGGTGAGCATTGGTCGATGGCTTGCCGAACCCAAGGCTCCGTCAAAGTTGGCAGGACCTTATCCTGAGACTCCTCAGGGTTGGGCAGCTTCATGCAGGTCAATGACATGTCATCACATGAAAAACGCCTCTTGAATATATATATATATATAGTATATATATATATATTTCCGCCGACCCCTTTCTCCAAAGGGGAGGCGCATGGGAAGGGTTTGTCTGTGTCCTTGTCTCAGTGATGATTATCACCACTGATGTTGGGTGATGGTTCACAGCATCCGGATCATCATCATTACCGTGGCACTCTTCTTTTTTCATACACGTTTCAAGTGTGCCGTTAGACCCGACTGGAAATGCAGAGGATGCATTGTCATGATTGTCATGAGAACTGCTGCTGATGCTGGGGATGCATAGTGCTGATGATGAAAATGATGATGATGATGATGATGATGATGATGATGATGATGATGATGATGATGAACATGATGAACATGATGATAAAAATGATAATGGTGGTGTTCATCATCATGATTGAAAATGATTATGAAAATGATATCATCATCCTGATGATAATCATCACTACGCATCCTCAGCATCACCAGCAGTTAACGTGATCACATCAGCATGACAACGCATCCTCAGCATTTCCAGTCGGGTCTATATCAAACAAGAAGAGCGCCACAGTTTTGATGATGCACATGATGAGGAACATGAGATGATGATGATGATGATGATGATGATGATGATGATGATGATGATGATGATGTTCATCATCATCATCATCATCATCATCATCATCATCATCATCATCATCATCATCATCATGTTCATCATCATCGCCATCATCATCATCATCATCATCATCGTTATGTTTATCATCATGATCATGTTCATGTTCATGTTCATCATCATCATAATGTTCATCATCATGTTCATCATCATCATGTTCATCATCATGTTCCTCATCAAAACCGTGGCGCTCTTCTTTTTCACATACATTTCAAGTGCAGGGGATGCGTAGTCATGATTGTCATAATAACTGCTGGTGATGCCGCATGATCATCATCACTGACCATCACCATCTGATTGCATCCCGAGGTGTTCTTAACGGCTTACTTCTCGCAAAGACGAAGCGATGGCACAAAGTCCACACTTCGCATCCACAGCAATACATCGAAGTCTTGAGAAGAAAAAAAGAAAGGCCCCCAACATGGTTTTTCTGCCCGAGTTTCCACACACCCAGGGCACTTCTTGTAAAATTCAACAAGGTGTTTATTATCATGCGAATTTGTCCCGCTGTGGCTTGTTTGAGATGCAGGGAATGCATCGTCATAATTATCAGAACAACTGCTGGTGATGCTAAAAGTGCAAAGTAACAAATATCATCATAACTGCTGGCGATAATGCGAATGCATAGTAATGATTATCAGCATCCCTAATGTTGGGTAAACAATTGCATCATCAAAAACATCATCATTATCGTGCTGCTCTTCTTTTTCATATATGCTTTAAGTGTGCCGTTAAACCCGACAAAAATTGCGTAGTCATAATTGTCATAACAACGTCCCCTGTGGGGCCGGCGGCACAGGGCGGCAGCCCTTAAATATATATCACATTTGAAAAACCAAGGAGTCTTGAGATTTCAAGCAAGGTCGGCTATGGGTGCGGCCTCGGACCTTGATTCCATGTTCCAACCTCGGACCTCGACAGCCAGAGGTGATCTGTCCAGCGGTCTCTGAGATAATTCCGTGGAATCTTGCTTGACATGTGCATAACGCCCGTGCAAATACTTCACGGCGGAGTCTGGCACAGAGCCAAAAATCACCACCACCACCGTACCCACGGTCACGGCCGCGCAGGCCACCTTCGAAACCATGGCTTGCGACTAGGCCACAAGCATCTGGAAGGCCTGGCAAGACATAAGGGCAAAGGCTACATCTCAGGTGAATGAATTTCAACTCAGGGACAAGCCAGCATGTGTTGGCAACGTTGCCATCTGAAACTGCCTCCTTCACTCCAACCTTCTTTTCAAGAGGTGCTTGGAATGCGCATTGAAGCAGCATGCCGAGCAACTAGTGCATTGATCCATACACCTACAACATCAGCCTTTCGTCTGGATCTGGTCTAAATTACGCATGGGATGTTCTTCTTGCTCCATGAACTGTCCAATCTCGACTCGAAAAGCTGCGGGGCGCAATGGAGAAGTCTCATGGGGGCGACTAATCCGAATGAGCTGGTCCCATACCTCATTGCTGATTTGGCCGGAAACTTCGTAGTCAATTACTTGGCCCTGGCTTTGCTGAGTCCAATCCGTAAGGATAAATACAACCGAACGCAAGTCAAGCGAATGCCGCCAGTCAGACAGTCTGAAATCGGCCCGAAAAATATGTGAACACTATTTATCTCATCACCTGGATGCTCCCAAACACAGTCCAATCCCCTGGGTCTCTATAGTTACACTTAAAGCTTCACGATGTAACTATTGTAAGCTACGTATCCTGATATAATTCAATTGGGATCTCCCAAATGGATGGATGCTGTCGAAGTAAAAAAAGCCGCTCAAGCGATTGGATTCGCATGATACGAGTATCGTTCACGGGGACCTGAGATTTGGAAAGCAGAGACAGCCAAGTCAGCAATGGGCTCCATCTCTCTGCACGAACCCGAAACCAGTATGCGGCAGTATGTGGTTGGATGCAACAGGGAACCTACCTATCCCGTGGACGTCTGTTGCAAGTTGCACCAGGAGTCCGGGCGCCAATGTGGTTGTCCGCCAGCAGGATGGTGTCCAGCCTGGAGTTCGTGGACAACAAACACCCTTGGAAAGAATTAAGCACAAGTTAAAATAACAACAACAATGCAAAACAAAAAGGATCCAATGAAAATAATGAAGAAAATACTTCCCGCATTCATGCGAGACCCAGAAACGGCAAATGTTTGGGACCGGAATCTCCTTTTCGGGGGGTCTTTCTTGTTATTATGCTTAGGGGGAATAGGCCAAGCAGCGGCCAAACGACGGGCAGATGTGTTGGGGGCAAGTTGGACCTTGGCAAAGAAAACCCAAACGAAACCAGGCATCACGAGGGTGCGATTCTGAGTTTTGAACCTGGCCAAAACTGCCGTCCTGTGTGGCTGCTTTGGCGGTCGTTGGGTGGCGTGGCTTGACACAACGCTGGATAGGCGTCAAAGCCCTTCAAAGCTGCTTCGCTCACTAGTTGAAAGCCCTGAAACGCAGCCATCTACAAAGGAACTCGAAAGAAGGTTCCTTGTGGAGCCTTTTGGAGTAGCTATCCGGGATGTTCGAATGAGGGGTTGCTAATTTCACTGGGAAGCTAGCCATGGGATGCCATGGGGAAACGCTCAGATACCTAGGACCTATTGCCCGATTGGAGAAAATGAAGCGCCCCAGCCCCCCAAGTGCACCCTGCCCCGCCTCACATTGGAGTTCTGGTCTCCCGAGAGAATGCCTGGCTCAACGGGTGAGTCGGTAGACCGTTTGGGATGGGAAAGAGGTACCCAAGGGAAAGGCAACCGAACCCCATCCGGTGCCCTCAGAGACAAACCCACATGAGGAATCCAACTTCAGCTTGTGGCCAGGGTGAGCTTTGCAAAGGGTGGATTCGTGTTTAACCCGTGGTCATGTGATAATTGCTAGACCAAAGGAGGAAGCAGTTGGCAAAAGGCACCTCAATTGAAGGAGACCCTTGTGACTGACCAACAGCACGTATTTTCAGGCAACGACATATCTTTGGGTTGGTTTCATGTTCGCACTCGGCTCTTGTCTTTTGTCTTTTCAGGAAAAACAAAAATACACGCGTGGGTTGGGCCAACCCAACAATTGTGCAAGCTTAAGCCAATCAATCAAACAGCCGTTTCCAGAAGACTGTTCTACCCTCGATCATCTCAAAGAAGGCTTGCTGGTCAGTAGGGGAATCATCGTGAGGACGAATCCAGGGATCCCCAAACAAGCCAGGGAAGATTTTGGTGGGGGCAAGAAACGCAGGGGCCAGCCCGATTTGCTTCTCTGACACAGAGACACACCGACACACCCAGCGGCCGGATCAGATCGGATCCGTCGCCTCCGTGGGCAGATTTCCAGGCCACGAGCCCGTGGATTTGGGCACACTCATTGCACTCCTCCTGGCCGTCAGTTTCCCCAGTGGTTCATAGCGCCCTCCATCACACTGGCGGATCGCCCCGTCGCAAGGGAAACTACCACCAACTGGCATAAGGACGAAATAATGTTGTTGAACAACCTTCAGGGAACCCTGCAAAAGGAGAATCATGGCTTGCTGCTTGTCTTCCAGCAGGCGAACATAAGAGTCCCAGGGACCTTACCCTTTATCCGGCACATTAAAACCACTGGTAAAGACTACTTGGGTCTCACCAAAGAACCAAGGCGCCTCCGCTAAACGACACAAGGACGTGGAGCCCGGGAACCGAAAGGCACCGTTGCCTTCCGCTGATCGCCAACACGAAACCCATACCAGGCCGTTTTAGGGCCATAGACCGCCAGCATCCCCAGCATTGCCCTCTTCTCAAAGATGGGATTCCAAGATCTCCAGTGGATTTGCGTGGGAAAAGAAGCCCATGTCTTTGTAGCGGAACCCCCTTCCAAAGCAAGAACAACGGAAGCTCACCAATTCAAAGAGGAAGCCCAAAGAGATGCAAGCGTCCCCGGCGTCGGGCCTTGCACGCATCCAAGATGAAGACACCCACCCTGGAAACGACTCGAACCGACTCCGCATTTGTTCCACTTGACCCTGTTTGCGGTAAACCAGGGAGTATATGGGCACATGCATATAGGTGGGCAATAACCACAGCCCCATGGATCCCCCGAAACAGGTTCAACAAGGTCCCTCAAATGGCAGGAGAGCTTGGGATTCTGCGGGTTGAGTCACCAAGCAAAGGACTCTCAGAAAGGAGCCTTCACACTACACCCCCGTCGAGTCAACTAAGGATCTACTTGAGCTCCTGTGCACCTCGTCCTAAGCTGGGACCCTGCGGGTTGCCCCCTACAAGCACAGAGATGCACCGGCCTGAAGTAGTCCTTCTAAGCAATTCCCGGGTCTCTGCACTTCCAGGTTCTTGGATTTGGGGTCGCAAATCCACTTGCTGAGGTTGCTGTCACCCTGTTTGTAGACCTTCAGTGGATTTGCATGGGAAGAAGAGCACCTTTTGTTGGCTGACTTTGACCAAAGAAAGGGAAACAGTGGAAGGCTGTGGATGCCCACCACAAGGCACCGCTCCCGCCCGGAAGCACCGAGCCGCCCGGCAGAGTCGCCACAGCTTCGTTGAGCTCGTCCTGACAGGCACATGTCTATAAAAACCGAGGCCGTGATGCATCATTTCTCTCCTATGCCAACTAGTTTTTTATGCGGAAAGACGCACGGCCAACAGCCGGGAATCGGTGGGTGCAGCCTGGAAAAACAAAAGAATCAAGGCATGTGGGTCCTCAATCTGTTGGGCACCCAAACAGTCTGAAGGCCCCAGGTCATGCATCCCTAGCCACATACACCTAAAGCCTGCCAACAGTTTTAAAACTGCTGCCGCTTGGGAAATAAATTGGAACAAAGGCAAAAGCCAACCAAGTCAAGCCATGGACGGAATCAGTGTCAATCGGGGTCGTTTTCGGGGCAGCTCGTTTTTCCAGAAAGTGATGCTGAAAAACTGGCCTGGGCTGGAATCGGGTGGCAAAAGGGGGAGATCTATACCTTGATCTTCCCAAAGACAGGCCATTGGCTGATCCTCCATTCCAAAAGCCTAAATTTCGGGCCCTGCACGCTCCACCAAGACTTCCTAAAATTCCCCGTTGCACGCTGTCCACGGAAGCTCAAATAAACTTGGCGAACACAGAACCATGTCTTCAACCACCAGGACCTTAGAGACCTGATGTTGACCTCGACTCGTGATGAATCACCATGACCCACTCGGATTGTGATTCGGGGTTCTCTTGGAAAGAACCACCGTTGGCTTATTACAAAATTGCAACAGACTACATATCTAACACTTGGACAATGCCATCATGCTGGTACATAGGGTCCCGAACTACTACCCTCCAGGCTAACAGGGCAGCACCTTTGCAGGTGAGGCCTTCTGTGTAGGGCTGGTCCGTTCTTAAAGGAGACCAATATAACTTAATATGACATCAGCCATGAGAGTCGATTCCCCTGATCTCGGCAGTCATCCCACAACTCTGCCTGCTGCAGCCTTGGCTTTCCCACATCGCCCTTCTGGCCTGGCGCATGGGCCGAAGGGTCGATCTCTCGGTATCGGACGATGGCCTTTGACGGAAGCCCCGGGTGAACCAATTCGGCCAATGGGACTGAACTGGCTGTGGGCCAAAACCAATGGGATCCCATTTTGGGGTAGGTGCACCACCCATTTTAGAACCTATTTTAGTGGGGATTGGGATGTTCACTGGCGGTCCGAATTTGGATTTTGACCCATGGCCAACTCCAAATGCCACGGAAACTGGGACCTCCGAAGCCTCACTTACATGGGCCCCGGGCATTCCGCCAGCTGTGGCCGCAGGATGAAGCCGGTGTCACAGGAGCCTGCGACTGGCGTGCTATGGCGCTGGGATCCACCGGGTACAGAGAATTTGCTGAAGTCCCTGGTTTTTTTTTCCAGTAGTAATACATTCCCTTTAAAACCAATAGGAACACTAAACAATATTCTTAACCAAATGGAAGATGATGTTGGCATTGTAGAACACTCCCGCCCCCTTTTTCGGCATCACATACTGGCGTCGGGCTGTCACTAGTCACCCGCATATCCCATTGGCGCTTGGGTTTCCCCTTAGGAGCAACACGCAGATGAGTGCCGGGATTTGTTGGGTGGTGCTCTGAGGATTGTACGAAGGAGTGTCATGATGTGCTGAAAAATGGAGGTAGGCAAATGTTTGAAGCTTGGTTTCCTCTTCGGAGCGTGTGGCGATGTCTGTGTCTGTCTCTCTGTCGGTCTGCCTGCCTGCCTGTCTGTCTTTCCGTCAGGCTTTTTGTCTGTCTTTCTGTCTGTCTGTCTGTCTGTCTGTGTTGAAGGGCTGCCTCCACATTATTTCAAAAAGTGCTCCTCACATCCTGTGTGGATCGGCCCGAACAAGTCTGAGCCTTAATTACTAATAGAAGAATTGTGGAGCTCCAAACTTTGGTCCTCACATCATGTTTGACCCGGAATCCTAAAAATGGGACCTCCTCTTGGACAGCGCAGGGGCAGTTGAAAAAGGACCCAACATGGTTAGACACACCCATTTATTGTGTGCAATCCCCCAGCTGACATGCGACTGGATCCCCTTTCACACATGTGAGGCTTTGTGATTCGACTCCAACCGAATGAACCCAATGCTTCACAAGTGGCGCAACAAGGCCCGCTTGACTCATAAACATGGAGGTCATCCAATTTCATCCAATTGCATCCAACATCCATCAAGGAGGGGGAGCCGGAAGAAAAGCCAAAGCAAACAACACTTGTCCCAAGAACATTGCAATTATCTATCAGCCAACACTCCAGTAAATGCAAGTCGGGACCCTGCCTCCAATCAACCGCAACCAATTGGCTGGTTCTTATGAGGGACTCTTCGAGCCCAGCAATCCAATTTACAGTACTTTCCTAACAGATGCAATAGGGCCCCTCACCGAGCGCCTGCCGCCACGTTTCCAGAAAGCTCTCCAGGTCGCACCTGGCGAAGGGGCAAACAGTTTGATCGAAAACGGACTCCCAGTTGCCATGTTTGACCCTGGTAGAAAAAGGAGGAACTTCTAGTTTGGAGAGTTGGAGGGCGTTGGTGTTGCAACACTCCGGAAGGCCCCAAATGGCTTGTTGGGGCTGGGCCCGTAGGTGTTTGGAGAAAGCAGCATTAAAGCCCCCGGTTCGGGAACGGCCAAAAACTCCTGGAAAGTCGCTCTTTTCCCGGCCTGACAAGTTCAAACACCCGAAGAGCACCCTGGCAAACACGTCCCATTCACCACTTCGCGGCCCCGAAGTGGCGGTCAAAACAAACCGCCAGCAGGTGGGGCCCAATGGTCTGGTTGAAAACCGCTTGGTCAACCCTGGACGGAGCTTGAGATTGCCAGCAAAAACCAAAACAGGAGTGCTTACTGCGGCAAGCAGGTGGAACAATGACAATGCCATACAACATCTCGGGAAAGTTTGAGATGCATTGGAAGAGACGCTCCCACATCAGCTCGTCAAAGCCACGTATGTCTGGGAGAATTGATGCCAAAGAAGACTTTCACACAGCAAAAGCGCATGGCCGGTCGGCCGGTTGGCCCACCTCTCACTCTCTCACAGGATTGGACCCTCACACCTCCATGTAGAAGGCTCCAAAGTGCCGCACCCAGTCTGCGATGGCACCGACATCCAGCACTCACATGGCCATGGGTCAAAGCCCCGTACCCCCAGTGAACATCCCAATCCCCACTCAAATAGACTAAATGGGTGGGGTGGTGCACCTACCCCAAAATGGTACCATTGGTTTTGACCCACAGCCACATCTATCGGCACCCGCGAACAGCTAGCCCCTGAGGCCCAGTCTGAGCTTAACATGTTGACTCCCGGGCCTCAGGACAGTCATTCAGGGATTAAAATGAAGTCTACGTAGTTATCTCCTTGCAAGGTACTTGGAATCTTTGGGGGAACCCTTTCCAGGTTCAATTTCAATCCTGTAAGCTGGAATCCTCTACGTTCCAAAAAAGGCTTGTTTTTCAGACCCCTCTATTGATTGTAGGCCCTTGTTGTCAAAGCCTTCGGAAGCCGCGCGGGGTTAGATTGGAACGGTTCTTGGAGGCATGCCGATTGGTTCCCCAGGCGAAAAATTGTTCGGAACCCGTCAGCAAAACACCAGCCACTCAACCGACGCCTGAACAACTCGCAAGAATTCAAGTACAAGTGACCTATATGGGGAGGTTCAAAATGGGGTCCCTGTTTGGTATTCCCCTTGAAATGCACCCAAGTGCTACAAGGGTTCGAAAAGGAGCCATACTTTCCACGAGCCCCGTATAAACACATTAAGAAAAAGGGCGGTGTCGTGATAAGTGTCCAAGCCTATCACCCTATTCGGGCCATACCAAAAGGCCGAAAGCGCGTCAATCATAGCAAACTCATGACTTGAGAAAAGGGGTTTGACGCTGCACTGGCCAATTGGGATGATGAAGTCGCCGCCCCTTTTGAGACAAACTTGGCTTGAAAGCGGCAAGCCAACCCTCATGCACCTCCTGGATCCAGAGAACCTTTGTGAAACAGCCGTTTGCTCCCTGTCCTGTGTTCTCTCTGGAATGGCGGAGCGTCTCGATAGCAATGTTCTTGCGGATGATGACAACATCGTCGGCGCTGGTGTCCCCTAGGAGCCAAGCAATGTCAGGCCCCTACGTGCAAATCACGTCACCTCACCCAGCTGGGAACCAGGTCTAAAAATGGTTTCTATTTGACCCGGCGTACTCAGTGTTGGGGGCCAACGCTTGGATGCGGGGTGTAGGCACGTGCAGACGGGCAACTCCAGGATGTCGAGTGCTTCGGCCCGCGTCAACTCAAATGAAAGAGCAACTAAGCCGCGGCCATGTCCGCCGACATTGCAGAGGCGTGTCGAATACTTAAGAAAGGAAACGTAGAGCTGCCCCCCCCCCCCCAACGCCCACTGATAAGTAGGGTCTACACGTCGGAGGAGGGGTGGTGTCCCGCACGTACCGCGCGGTAACTTCATAACGTCCCACTAAACGTAGTCTTCGGGGAGCCAGTGTCGCAAAACAGCGGTCCCAGGCTCGAATCCCCTGCCGGCTCTTTGCTGGGTTGGGTTTCCTGACTCCTTTTTGCCGAAACACTCTGTGTTTTTTGACATCCTGTGGAAAAACGTGTTTTTTGCAGGAAAATGCTGGGGAGCAAGTGGGGAAATGCCAGGAAGTGCATACAAGGAAATGCGGGGAGGAAATAGGAAGTCGACATGACAGGAAAGCAAGGGGAAATGAAAGGGACGCAAAGGGGAACTGAAAGGGACATGAAAGGGACAGAAATGAAAACAAGGGGAGTGCAAAGGGAATGAAAGGGAAACAAAGGACAAGGAAGCCGACAAGAGATGTAGGGAAATGACTGGCAACGAAAGAACGGGACATACATGGAAAATGAAGCGGACATACCGAGAAAATGACAGGGACATGAAGGGGGAGTTGAAAGGAGTGGAGGGGACATGACCAGGACATGCTGGGACACGTGCAAAGGACATGGGAAATCAAGGGAAAGCCAGTAGTAAGCAGACAGTTCAGGGTCATGAAGGGGCAGTGCCCGGACATTGAGGCAACTCAGGGGGGCCGTGACGCTGCAATGCAGAGAGAGAGACAGAGAGGAGCGGGAGAGAGCGAGAGAGACACAGAGAGAGCGAGAAAGAGAGAGAGAGAGAGTGAAAAAGACAGAGACAGAGCCAGAGTCAGAGAAAGAGACAGAGAAAGAGACAGAGAAAGACAGATAGAGAGAGAAAGAGAGAGAGAGAGACACAGACAGACAGAGAGAGAGAGAGAGAGACAGAGAGAGAGAGAGAGAGAGAGAGAGAGAGAGAGAGAGAGAGAGAGAAATAGAGAGAGAGAGAGAGAGAGAGACTAGGTCCTCCGGTAGAGAGGTTAGAATAAGGGTACCCTTTTTGCGTGGACAAGAAGGAGACAGGGAGACAGAAAGAGAAAGAGAAACAGAGAGAGAGAGAGAGAGAGAGAGAGAGAGACAGAGAGAGGGAGGTTGAGGAGAGAGAGGCTTGGGGGGATGGGGAGGATGGGGAGCAAACGGAGGGAGAGAGGACGACGGAACACACGGTGGAGGAGACAAGAGAGAGAGAGAGAGAAAGAAGGAGAAAAGGGAGAGGACAATGTCGGCGGACTGAGCCGGAGGCTCTAAAGTTCAAATGCAGCCTCCCATGACTCCTCCACGGCGATGTCACCGGCGCGTTGCTCACTGGCGCGAAAGCACTTTGCTGCCGAGCCGCGAATCCAAATCGCCGTCCGGAAGGTCCTGGCGGTGCTTTCTTCGGGCTTAAAAGGGGCAGTCGTCAATTTGATTGGCGCCATGGGATGGATCAGTCAACCATCTGGCGACCCAAGGCATGTTAGGGATGGGCATGTGGTAAACATGTGGGGGCCACAGGCCCATGGGAATTTCACAGCATGTCCAGCTGGAGTTAGCACATACCACGAGCAACCATGGCAAGCAAGGAGGGGAGCCATGAGGCAGGAAGAGTGCAAGGAATCGACAAAAGGCAGGGCGCTGCTTCACAGACCTCAGGTCGGCTATTGGTGTCTGCGACAGGGAGACCAAATGAAACTAATACTCCCCAGCGATTTAATCGTTGTTAAAAGGCTCGGAGCCCTGAAGACAGCAAGCAAACAAACAGAAGCCCCCGCACAAAAGCACTTGGAACATCGGCGAACATGTGATCAGTGGCATTCCCATGTTCATGACTAGTATGAGGGGCTATAAACACATACAAATACCAATCTGTTCGATATGTTGCTCCTGCAATCACTAGCAATATGTTGGCTTTCATACTTCAAAGGCGTATGCAAGCAGCAATCGGCTCACAAAAATCCGTGGTGTGGACTCCGGACGCCGACATCTTGCATGGCAACTCAGCTCGCGCGACTGCGCCTCTAAGACTTGCTGGGGTCCCATGTTCTATTCCCTCAAGGGCGGTCGTGCTCCCGGCCTGTGGAAAACGTTTCCAATGATCTCCAGGTTCGAGACCGAGTTGGCCTAGCGCGCAACTTGGCCGTAGAAAGGCTCAGCTGTGTAGCAAATTGGGCCCATTGAGCTGAACCCGTGGCCCGGCCCCTGCCCAAATGTCAAGCCGCACAGACAGTGGCTGCCAATTGGTGCAAGTCCAACCGGCTCACACATTTGTGCTTCTGGCATCCGGAAGCAGCGAACGCGATGAATTTGGACCAAAGCAGTTTCACTCCTCATGGAAACCCAAGCAGCCGCCGCAAGGGACCCCCCCGCAGCGTGACCAATTGTACGCATCTCAAGCCAAACGACATAGAAACAATCTCGAATCTCACCGCTGATTGATTCGGAAACGAATTTCCGCAGTGGACATTCGGTAGAGAAGCCTCAAGGCATCTGGCTCAGGCTACGCCTTTTGCCCTTTATGCTGTTTTACGCTGCTCTACGAATGAATCTAAAAACAAAGTAGGGCAGTCATACAATTTACCACAAGCTGTCTTGCCCCCGAATCTGTGCTCTGACATAATAGTGGGAGGGAACTTGAGGGAAGGTCTGTTGCCTTTGATGACAGCTCATGTTTCGTAGGCCCTTCGGCCGGAATCCGCGCTCCGGCCTCGATTGCGCCGGATTGCGACTGGCTGAACACGCAGTTCTCGACCCGCGAGAGGTTGGTCTGGCCCCTGGTCGCGTGGCCAAAAGACCGCTCTTTGCATCTGTTCGCGGTCATCTTTTAGCACAAGAAGTCACCAAGACACCAATTTGGTTGCCTACCTGCCAAAGACGGCAGGAAACACACAGGGTCAACCCAGAAGCGCTCAACTGCCTCAACTGCACCTAGGATAAGGGGGAGGATGGGTTTAAGGAATAGCTCCCTTGCACGAGTCACACGTTGGGCTCATCAGTAACAACGCCACTCGAAAGTCTTGATATGTCTCCATCATGTCGACAAGAACACAAGGACAATGTTGCATCGCACAACCTTTGATGCAAGTACACTTCCTTTTGTTTTTCGGTGTCTAGGAAGCAAAGTCTGGATAAGACCTGCGATAGGATGATGCATTGACCTCGTGCATGTTGCCAGACAACCCTTGCGCCCACTCAACTCGACAACAATGCCTTGGACCTATCCCAAGAATCAAAACTCCACATTCCCGTAACCTCTCGGACCCCACACATTCCCTCCTTATTTGTGCTTTTGTTTCTCAACAAACCAACAAACAGAAAACCGTACCGAAGGTGGAGCCACTCCAACCCTTTCAAACAATGCGCACTTCGAGTGACGCCTTCTCCTTCCCCAAAAGCCTTCCCCGTCGATCTGGGACGCTGTTGGGCCCATCCAATGTCTTAATGCCGCACCCATCAAAGAGGGGAAAAGAGGGGGGAACTAGGAGTGAGGTTAGTTGACAAAAGAGCTGGGCCCGGAATCCGCGGAACTCGGGATCCTTGCTTCCCGCTTCCCGCTTCCCGCTTTCCGCTTGGGCACCCAGACGCTAGGAAGTTGAACTTCAAGGCCGGAGCCTGGTACCAGTGCTTGCCTCGGCGAGGGCTTGGGGGGAGAGCGTTCCAAGTGTCTACATCTAAACCCATGAAAGACGAGTGATACGTGGGGAGCTTTCGGGTTCGGAATTTGGAACCCTTTGACAGCCAGGAACATGGCGAAGGGTTACCTACTAGTACTGGTAAATGAGTAAATAGGATCCAATGGGTGTCCATGGGAAAGACCGGATTTGGAACCGGCGCCTGGGACGTGCTTTGAATCGCCAAACAGCGAGCGACCAACCTCCGCCGTCTTGGCCTTAATTAACTCCATAAAATTTCGGTTTGGGGGGCACCTCAAAAGAAAACCTTGCAGAAACCAGCAGGTCACTGGGGGATTAGATGGACTCTTTGGAGTCAAGGGCTGTTCGACAGAGGGGATCCCGAGTCCTAATCCTGGATCAAGGGAAACCGCTACCATCTGGCATAAGCATCTTGCGGGTTGATTTGGAAGAACCCAGCCTGCATGGGATCCCGGAATGAACTGACTGGTGACAAGACCTCGTGCGTGGCTGATAACCAGCCCCTGGTTTTGTTGACCTTGACCCAGATGGCAAAAAGGGACGAAAGCTCCTGGAGACCGGACATCTTGCAAACCCCAGGTAAGCTCTTGCTGTTCCCGCAATGCAGGTGATATTTGCCCACATTGATCCAACAAAACAACCCGTGCGTTGTGTGTCCTTGCATGTGGAACCTCCTGTTGATTTCCAAGGGAGACGCGAAGGAAACTACTAGGGCTGTATTGCCTCATAAGACAAACCAATTTCTCCGCCACATGAGTCACAATCAAAACCTGGTACAAAAATGGTGAACCCAGAACCATGTTTCAAGAATTAGAAAGGCGGATATCCGCAACTATTTCCGGCTGGGACTGCCCCTTACTAACCGGATCATCTTTTCCCGGGTTTTGAGTGGAGCAAGTGGCTCACATCCCGTCCCATGTCTCACGAAGCCCTCGCGACTCGCGAGGCAGTTGCCCGGGCCGGAGTCCTGGAAGCCGGGCCCATCTTCAGGAAGTCCACGTTGCTGATGTTGGCGACCCCCTCCTCACCGCAAATACCACTGAAGCCTTACCGGCCCCCCAAAAAAATCCGACTCTGATCTGAAAAAATGGAGCAATTTGATAAGATCACGGCTGCCAATGATAGGACTCTCCTAATCATGGGGGGATCATGGGGTAAAACGGTCGCATGGCCAAATCCTTGCAAGGTCCGTATCGTCAAAGCCCGAAAATCCAAGGAACAACCAAGAGGATCCAACAGAAGGGGCAAAGAGAAAAGGACACCACAAAACTGGAAAGCGGACAAGCCCCAATGTTCAACAGATCTAAGAGGTCCGGTAAAATTTGAAAAACCCACGTCCGAGTTGGCCTTGGTCGAGGCTTGTGTCAAAATAGAGGGAGCCCGAAAACTGTGGGCTTCTTGTCGGTTTCTCTGCAAACGAACCTGACAAGGGGCCCTCAAAAAGCACATATACCCAAATGTGTTGTTGCCTAATGGACATGGAACAACGATTTTTGTCGCCTTGGTGGAGTGTGTGGGAAAAGATCCTGAATACTCCCATGTCCCCCCCAAATTGACCATAGACCACCCTAAACCTGATCGAACCAACTGGCCCCACAACAAGAAACACTCCAAATGGCCACCCAAAACCCAGCAGCAAATATATAAAACACTCGTATTTCTAGCGACTCATCTTCAGCTGCTTCTAGTGGGAATCGGGGTTTCAAACACTTGCTGAGTGCAAAAAGTCCAAACTTTATATTTACCACTAAAATGGTCCAAAGCCAAAAAGTTTAAAGTTCATGAACCCAGGAAGTGAGTGAACTCCCCGGAAAAGGGCGCTCACTTTGAACCCAGGGACTCGACTCGACTGGGTCTCGGGCCCAGTTGCCGTCCGCGGAGCCGGCGATCACCACTTCGCCTTTTGGGCGAGCGCCGCTTCGGCCGAAGCGGGGAGTCTGGGACCATTGGAAGACCTCCCACCCTTTTCAGGCATGGAACCTGACGTTTTTGGGGGGCTCCTGGAAGACCATCTTCCTTTTAAAGGAACCATTTCCCGAACGTCAGGTTCCATGTTACTTGGTGGGAGGGTAAGACCCCTTGAAAACGAGTCACCTGCTAGGTTCCATGTTACTTGGTGGGAGGGTAAGACCCCTTGAAAACGAGTCACCTGCTAGGTTCAAGGGCCATGAGCAAAAAGGTACCCCCCCATGGACCCTGGTTTGGTGCGGTTGACCTGTATTTTCCAGTGTTTTATGCTTCTTTTTGCTTCTTGGATTTGTGTCAAAATTGGGGGGAGGGTCATACATGTGTTGATTTGCAGCATGTGCATGAGCACCATTGCAGTCAGTGCCTGATTTCCATTGCGTGCCGCAGGGACTCTTTTCACATGTCAAGCCAGAAAAGGTGCCCGCGCGATGTGACACTGGGGTGTCACCTTTTTGGTTGGGTTCCGCAACCAGTTTAAATACTGGTAGCGGAGCCTCTACGGAGGCTCCAGTGCTAGGAAGCATTGGTTTCGTGGCTGTGCATGAGCGCCATGGCTGGTGCATCCGCGACGGATGTCGCACCCAAGGTTTTCTCAGGTGAGACCGAAGATGCTCGAGAGTATAAACGCTGGAAGACCTGGGTATCCAACAAGTTGCTGACCCTGGATACCAAAGTGCCGGAAGCAGCAAGGGGCGCGTATGTTTACACCCTCCTGTCTGGGAAAGCTCTCGAGAGCATCGAACATCTGAGTATCAGAAGAAGGGTGGCGAGCAGGTGATCTTTCAGATTTTAGATGCTCGCTTCCCGCAGAAGGATGTCTCCGATGAGATGTCAGAGACCCTCACCGCCGTGTTTGGCCTCAGGGCTCAGGAAGGAGAATCTCTCAAGGTCTGGATTGCACGTGCTGGCGAACTTTTCGACAGTTGCCACCGGAAGTGCAAGGTGACTTTTCCTGAGGAAGCACGCGGTTGGCTGATTCTCAACCGATCTGGTCTCAATGAAGAACAAAAGGCAGTTGTTCTGGCCCGCAGCAATGGCTCTCTGAAACGCGAGGATATCGGAAAAGCCCTGCGGTCCTGCTACCCTGACTACGCCGTTGCCAAGCGGCGCAGTGTCGGTGCCGGCCTTGTTGAGTCGGGTGATCTGCCTGATGATGCACTAGCTGATGATTCAGATCCCCTTGTCGAGGAGATGGAGGCCTTCTTGGCCGAATTTGAGCCAGCATCCAGGGGAGAGCCCGATGAGATTTTCGATGAGAATGAGGTTGCGGAAGCTCTGGCCGTGTCGTGGAAAGACAAGAGGAAGGAGTTGAACAAGCTACAACGCTTGCGGCGTTTTGGTGCAGCCCAAGATCTCAAACGGAGCTATCGGGTTGAGATCGAGGAGCTCAAGCGCAAGACGCGATGCCACAAGTGTCAGCAAGTCGGCCACTGGTCACGGGAGTGCAAATCTGGCAAAGGTCGTGGACGTGGCGGCGGTGCCGCATCTAGCAGCAAAGGCAGTGAGTCCGGAGCCGCTTTTGTCCAATCTTTCGAGGAGACCTTTGTCGCCGCAGTCGAGTGGTCGAGCTCCGGAGTGCTTGATCCTGATGAGATGCTTCTGGAGCTAGTGCGTCGCCATCACCAGGTGAAGTCCGCCGTCAGTCCTGCTCAGGTACCGCTTTCAACCATGCCCCCTTGCCCATCATCGGAGGCGCTGTTGGTCAGCTCACCTGGGTACGGGGTTATTGATTCGGGATGCGGTCGTACGATCATCGGGCAAGAGACACTCCGAGACTTCAAGAAGTTGTGGCATGATCATGGGATTCCTGAACCTGCCTATGTTGCAGAGGTGAACCACTTCAAGTTCGGAAATGGGCAACGGGAATCCACTGACACTTCGGTGAAGCTATACCGGTCATTATTGCTGGGCGTACCGGTATCATCAAGGCGGCCATCGTCAAGGGAGCAGCTCCCCTGTTGATTTCCAGGAGTGCGCTGCAGGCCTTGCAAGCGGTTGTGAATTTCGGCACAAACGAGATGTCTCTGTTCGAGGATCAGCTAGTGGTCCCTATGACGACCAACGCTGCAGGTCAGTATGTCATCAATGTGCTGGACCACCAACTGGAGAAGCCGTCTGTTCCCTTTGCCGAGGTCATGATGTCAGTCAAAGATGATCATGAGGTGGAGCCCACTGTTGAGGTTGTGCCACCAGCAGAAGCCATCGCTGTGCCTTCTGATGCTCAGACCTCACCGGAGGTGCCAGAAATTCCAGGAGAGCCTTGTACTTGTGAACTGCAAGTGTGGCACCGTTATGACAGTTATGACTCATTTATGTCCCAAGTTCCCAATACCGGTAAACAAGGTCCCCTGTGGCAAACCGTTAGGCGTCGCCGAGTGCTGGACCAAGATACAGGTGCAGTGTTGTTTGATGATATCATATCCCCTAGAATTGGCAAACAGCAATATCAACGGACCATTCCTGCCCATGTAATGCATATTGCCACGGAGTTTCATTTCGTCCCGCAGGAGATCTCTCGCCCCATCGAAGCCATGCCTGTGCATTTTGTGAGACAACTTGCTTCGCAGATCCGTAAGCCCGAGGTGAAGTCGTCCAAATGTGATGGAAAGCCGTTCCTTGTGGCCGAAGTGTTTTGTCCTCCTAGGTTCTCACCACTTGTTGAAGGAGTCGGGGGCAGTTGCAAGTCCTATGATATCAAAACAGGGTATGATTTCACTCAGGCGGCTACCCGGGATGCAGTTGCGAAGGAACTGCGTGCATGCCCGCCTGACCTGTTGATTGTGTGTCCACCGTGCACAGACGAAGGTGGTTGGTTTAATCTCAACTCAATATACCTGAGCCCGCAGGAGTATGCACGCAGGGTACAGCAGAGCCGCATGTTCATCAGGTTTTGCTGCCGGTTGTATCAGCAACAAGTTGACACCGGTCGCAGAGCTCTGTTCGAGCATCCCAAGTCGTCTCGTTTGTGGACCTACCCAGAGGTACGTGCTTTGATGGAGCAGCATCATGTGATCACTTGTGACATGTGCCGTTTTGGACTTTGTGTTCCCCGCTGTAAAAAGCTCATTCGCAAGTCCACTCAGTTGATGGTTACCCATGAAGAGATGAAGACTCTAGCAAAGCGATGCCCAGGCTCACAGCATGTCAAACATCAGTGCCATCAAGTTGTGGCGGGTTCTGACCCAGTGGTAGGCTCCATCAGCACTTTTGCCGGGAAATACACTCCCCAATTTCTGGAGGCAGTTATGGACACTTTGCGCAGTTATGTCGCGCTCAAGAATCAGTGCCTTGCAGTGTGCCATGACTGGACGTGTCGTCAGGAGCATGAAGTGCTGGCAGCCAAACCTGAGTTGTCAGATAGTAAGACTGATGAAGAACTCATGAAGGTAATTGACAAGGTGCATAGGAACCTGGGACACCCCCCGGGTAGTGACTTGATCCGAATTCTCAAGCATGCTCATGCTGCTGACCGTGCCATTCAGCTAGCGCGCAAGCACGAGTGCGAGTTTTGCAAGTCACAGATCAGACCTCACGTGCCCTTGCCAGCCAAATCTTCAAGACCGCAAGAGTTTAATCAAGCTGTGGGTATCGATGTCAAGAATCTTCAGGGATGGTTGCCCAATCAGAAGATCAAGGCTGTCAACATTGTGGACCAAGCAAGCTGTTATCAACTGATGATTCCTTTCCATTGTCGGGAAACGTCAGCTGTGATTCGCCAGGCATTTGCTGATCATTGGGTTCGCATTTTCGGCCCTCCCAAAGAGGTCATCCTTGATCAAGCTCAGACCAATATGGGCGAGGAGTTTCAGCAGTATTTGGAATCCCTGGGTTGCCATGTTCATCCCATTGCTGCTGAAGCGCACTGGCAACTGGGTCGTACCGAAAGTCATGGCGGTTGGTTCTCACGAGTGCTCGATCGGACTCTGGCTGAGGCACTGCCCAAAACCAAGGAAGCTTGGGAGGAATGTGTCACACATGCCCATGTTAAAAATTCAATGATTCAGTCATACGGGTACACTCCTCACCAATACGTGTTTGGAAAGAACCCTCAGGTCCCCACTGATCTCATGAATGAGCCACTTCACGCGGTACCTGCAACCCTGGGGCTGTCTGATGAAGCAATTGAAAAATCCCAACGAGTGCGAGCTGCAGCCAGACATGCAGTCATCACCACCCAGGATGACCAAGCCCTGCGACGTGCATTTTCCGCACATCCAAGACTCATCCAGCAGTTCCATCCAGGTGACCTTGTGGCCTATTGGCGTAATCAGAAGGTTCAACAAGGTAAGCTGGTTCAGGGTGGCCGTTGGTATGGTACCGCAGTCGTCATTGGTAATGTTGGGAAAAATTACGTGGTGGTCTACAGGAGGCAAATTTTCCGTGTTGCACCCGAACAACTTCGTTCAGCCACTTCCGAGGAAAAAGCCCTGGTCACAACCCCACAGGCCGAGTTGCTTGGTGTCCGAGATCTGTTGGAGGGTGGTACGTTCCGCAGTCACCTATACATAGACTTGGTGCCGAGTCATTATCCACCTGTGGCCTCGGACTCAGACCGGCATAGTGAGGATGATCCTGCGCCTGCCCCGGTAGTCCCGGAAGCCGGCCCTTGTCCACTGCCGCCGGTGGCCAGTCCGCCAGACGGCCAGGGGGACATTGAGGCAGTTCCCCCGGAGTCGGAGGATGTTGTTCCTCAGTCCTCATCTGGCTCTCGTGAAGGGCCTGTGTTACACAGCAATGTAGCCGTGCCCAATCAGGATGCGGCCCCAAGCTATGGACCTATTCGTCGGAGGATTGTAACTAAGACCGGACCTGATGCCTTGCATCGTCCTCCCGCAATGCGTGAACAGGACTTTGTCGACATGATGCGTGAAGTTGTTCCCCAATTGCTTCAGGAAGTCACTGCTGATAGCACCATGAGCAGCCCTAACAAGA